GACAAATTTATTAGTGTATCAAATACTTTTTTGAACTCCACTCTGTAAAAGGCTTTTAAATCAATTATACACTGTGTACTAGAATTAGAGTCTACCTTTTTGGATTTCAATCTTCTTTGATGGTGTCGGTTAAAATCTACTTCTGGATTAATATTTAATTTTTTTGCAAAAATGATTGCACTTTCAATCAAATCATCCATTAACTTATTATCGTCCCTCATTTTAATTAAATCATCAATAGCTTGTTTTAGTAAAATCAAAGCATCAACTATATTTAATTCTGTAGCTTCTAAGTTTTCTGTCAAGATTTTTGTTTTGTACATGATAGTTTTCATAAAAGATAAACAAATTACAAAGTCAAAACAGAGAATTTTTTTGGAGAGGCCCAATGCAAGAGTACATGTTTTTTTATCCATATATTTCAGTGGCGTAGCCAAGGGAGGGGGGCTAAGGGGGCTATAGCCCCCCCACCCGTGGGCCGTGTTTATATGTATAATGTATCTTGACTATTTAATAGAATCAATGGATGCTCGTTTTAATCAAAGGCTTATTGATGTTATGCCACTTGAAGGACTTATTCCGACCAAATTAAATATGTATGACGATAAAAATATTATAAAAGCTGCTAAAATATATGTCCAAGATCTCCATGATGATACCTCATCTACAATCAGAGCTGACCTGTTCATATGGAGGCAACAATGGAGTTAAAATACTATTCCAAAACCGAATTCTGCTTTTGATTCACTCTCTCATCGCACCAATCTTCGACCTAACATTAAAATACTTTTACAATTATCCGCTACGTTACCAGTTACCTCTTTCACTCCGGAAAGAACGTTTTCAGCACTTAATCGCTTAAAAATCTTTTTAAGAAGCATCATGTCGGAAAACAGACTGAATGGGTTAGCTATGGCCAATATAAATAAAAAAGAGCAATTCGATGAAAGTGAAATAATAACTGAATTTGCCAGAAATTTGTCCAAGAGGATACAGCTGTCAAAGTGGAGCAAGTGACTGAACACTGAAACCAAAATTATTATTATTATTATAAATTATATATTAATAAATATTTTTAAAACTATACTAAAATGCTTGAATTACGTTTAGAAACTTGGTGGTAGATGGTGGGGGCGGGTTAAGGGTGAATTCTCATATCCTCTCTTACCTTACTTATCCAAAAAAGTGGTTAGCCCCCCCCCCATTTAAAAATCCTGGCTACGTCACTGATATGAATATATTTTAAGTTTGTCGTATCTTATAGTGTATCAATAATTTGTTCGTATGATATCCAAACAGCTTTGATCGATTCCGCTCTAGCAGTCTATCGTGTTTTTGAAAGGTTTACAAGTTTTAAAGCGTTTTCATCTTCAAATAATTTTTTTTCTAAGCGTGCATGTCTTTTAGTACTTCCAGAAAAAAAAACATATAATTGATCAATGCAAGAAAATAGATCACCAATTATTACACTTGCGAAACAACTGTGTTCAAGAAATGTATTCAATCAATGTGCTTAACATGGGATGAACGAAATTTCATGAACGACAATATCTGAAAATTTTTGTTGAGTACCATTTATCTTACCTGACATACTGCTGGCAAAATTATAATATAAATTATATTTGAATAGTCATATTGAAATCATAATTGCCGACTGGCCGACTGATATGTCAAAATGATAAATTTGACGACTAAAATAATTCGCGTGTTGTAGTGTAAGGGTGTAACCTCCCACCCACCCCATCCCCTAAATCTGCCTCTGGTAATTATACCAAAATGTGTAAAAATATGTAAATTAAAAGTAGCATCATTTTAATAGGAATGATTTAAATCATGAACATTTCTTATCGAATCTTAAATATATTGTTTTAATAAAAATATACACTTACATATAAATTCATTCCCTAGTTATAACTAACGGTTATATGTGTAAATAAATATAATTTAAGTATACTCCATATTGTTGTAATCCCTTTGATTGAAAAAAGGCATATTCTAGTTTTAAACTATATCTTCTAAAAATGTAATGGATTACATAAATTATATTAGATAAATATAGCTCCTTTTTTTATATTAACACTAATCATATTATATGAGTATACAGAAAATTTTACTGTTGACTAATTTATTATGTGTATTGTTTATTTTATTTTATTTTTTTGACAACCTGTTTATTTGTCTGTTTTCTCCCCTATTTATGATGCATTATTTTTATTTTTTTCTATTTAATTATACACCTTCATACGAATAAATAATAATAGGTACACCAGAAATGAGACTGATAATTACTTATGATCTTAGTAGTTATACTATATAGTTATATCTATAATGGTGTACGCATAAATTAATGAAGTAGAAATAACATAAATAGTGAATACTATGAAAAAAATTCATCGATTTTTTGAATCATCGTGAAATGTAATTCTATTCGATAGTGTAAGTAAGTGATTATCACTATAGGATTTTGTAAACCTATGTACCTTATGTATGTATGTATATTTCTTTTTTTTTTAATGATACAGTATTATCTTTATTATAGAATTCTTGAAACAATTTTTTTTAAATAAGTAAAATGTATTTTAAAAATTTAAATTTAATAAAAATAAATAACTATTACTTTTTCATATTAATATGCACTCAAATTTCCCTTACCAAATTTTCTTCCTAAGGCTCCTCTTCGCCGATACAATTCTTCTGAATCACGTTCTCCTATTTTCAATTCTTTTATAATCGTTTTAATACGTTTTTCTTCCTTTTTTAATTAAAAGAAATATTTTTTAAATAATTGTAAATAATATAAAACCTAAATGTACTTTACATACTATAATTTTAGTACTGTAATATCGAAAGCAATAAAAAACAATATATAACCGTTTTAGGTCAGTAGTATTGTATGCTAACTATATGTAAAGTGTAATAAATAATATCATTGATTTTATAATAAACTATATTAGTATAAATATATATATATAGTTTTAAATGTTGTGTTAAACTTTTTTTAGATTGAGAACAAAGTGAAATAAATGTTGAGTGTTCCTTAAATTTCTCCAGACTTCCACTACAAATCGTTGCGTTTAAGTAGGTATGTATTCAACAATAGCTTTTATTTATCTATATATCTTCGAATATAAATATGTAAGACTGCGTTCACACCAAGAAACATTTGTCATCGTCATTTTTAAAAATAAAATACGTAATGTTTCTAACATAAATTAAAAATACGCACATCCTGAGCGGTGTAACAAATTTATCAAACATTTATTCTTCACTAATATGTAGTTCAAGAACGACACTGCGATCGTTGTTTCTGCTTGCGTAATTTAAAGTTTGGAATTAAAAATAAAACATAAACGAAGTCTTTTAGCGAGAAAAATATTTAGTGGTAATGATTTAATGGTTGATCTTCAATATGATTATATTGATTTAACTAGAGAATTAAAGTATGCTTATAATAAGTATCATTGTGTAATAGTATTTATATATATATATATATGCAGAATTTCTTTTAGTAAATTTAAATTATTTTTAGTAGTTGTAATGGTAGTTCCAAAAATTTTTTATGTATGAGTAGTACAGATTGAGTAGTGTAATTGGGAGAATCATAACAAAACACGTAATAACACGTCCAATCATGTCGATGATCTGAATGTTCCGATACGATATCGTTAGCAATGTTGATAAAAATCCTTTGAAATTTACATTCCGAGAATGTCGGAAACATGTTTGTGACAAATATTTCTTCAATTTAGACGCGACTTAAGAGCCTCGAGATACTTCGAAAACGGTGCCGATAAGTATGTCGATCATGTTGCATAGTAACAGGTTCATGCAAAAATCCGATATTAATTTGGAAATGGGAGGATAAACACAGGTAATTTTTGATAAGTAGAGTAGATTGCGTACACCATCATCCAGTGCACTGTCGGCATAGGCACACATCAAAGGAAATAATGAGCACTTTTCCATCACGCGCGAACGGAGCAGATCCACTATTTAATATTTATTTCACAACGGTAGTGAGTACCAATATACTACGTATATAACTGTATTACATTATGATGTTGTAGTACAGGTAGAACTGCGCTACACACATTTTTGAATAAAAAAAAAAAAAAACGCCACCCCGAACGAATAGACGACGGATCTTTTATCGACACAATAGTCCAAAAGTCCTAAAACGGAGTATTCATTGTGTGTCAACAGTACACAAGAATCGTATTGTGATAAAGGGATACGCGCGGGCCACCAAGGTTGAAAAAATACATTAGAAAATATACACACAAATGTTATAATAACAGACGAACGGGGTAGATATAATAATAAAAATAATGATAATGATTGTTATGGGAAAAAAAAATACAATTACGACAAGACGTCGTAGTAGTCGTCATCGCGCCGTCACAACCCCCGGCCGCGGCTCGTCTGACGTCTCAGCCGTAATGATCCACACCTGTCGAGCGGCGACCCATTGGTTCTCAGGATGCGGAGCTTAAGGTTCCGGGCGGCGGGAAAGAAGAAGAAAAAAACGAAAAACGTCGAGCCGCTGCCGTGGCGTCCGGTCCGGGTTCGTCGGTGAGCGCCGTAGCCACGTACAAAACGCGACCCGGTCAAAACAACAGCAGCGAAGGTGACGGCGACTGTCGGGACGTGACTTTCGGACGGAAACCGAAAGAGCCTAAATAGTCGGGGAGCAGGAGAACTCGTATAATACCGGCGCGTTTCTTTGTGGCCGCATGCGTGCCCCGCCGCACATGCGCGTAGTAATAATAATAATAAGCGGCCCCGGCTTGCGTTCTCGCCGCCGCCGACAACCAGTTTTTGGGTTCAACAAGTTTGTTCGAACGGCGTGCGTGTGCGTGAGCTGGGCGCGCGCGTGCGCGTGTGTACGCACCCGACGTGTATCTCTCTCGAGTACTATATAACCGGTGCCGCCGCTGAACACTGCGTGCACCACGCTCTCCCACCGCCACCGATACCGACGACGCCGCGTGACCGTTACCGCCACTGCTGACTAGGCACACTCGTTCGCTAGTAGTGGCGTGTGTGTACGACCGCTTCGACGCGTATTTTTCTTTTTTCTTTTTTCTCATTCCTTCTTCCTTTACCCCAATCCCACTTGATCCGTCGAAATTCCTCAGAGCGCGCGTGTGTTCGTGTGTGCGTATAACGAACGTTTTTGTGCGCAGCGCTGTGCGTGTGTCTGTTCGCGCCCTCTCTTGAAATAAATTCGTTTTTGTTTTACCGTATTTTTAAATCATATTATTTTATTATTACTTGGACTCGGCGTCCATTCTCCGTTCCGTTTCTCGATTGGTTTTTTTTATTATTTTTCGACTCGAGTGCGTTCCGTGTCGTTGTCGTAAAATTATCCGTAGTTGTAAGTGCCTAATAACATCGTGATACGATCGCGTTTGTTGTCGCTTTCCTGAAGTGCGTACGGATAGAGCATAACGGATTACTACGATACAATGATGGTGACGACGACGATGATCGGTACATTATGTCGCCGGTGAATGTCGTTCGGAACGGTGAGTCGACGGGTGTATCATAAATAATGATTTATTACGTGTGTGTACGGGTCGTATTTTGCGGATGTGGTCTGTCCTCTCGTGTACCATTGTTACGCGATACCGTACGTCGAGTCTCGGTGAGCAGCGGCGGTGAGACGCGAAACGCACCCGGAATGCGACACGCGGTGTTTGGTCGAAAAATTTGCATCGGTCTCCGGACGGGCGGGGTGGGTATTCCGCGGGCGCGCTAGCACCGGTGTGTAGTAGGAATGCGAACGCGGTCTGCCCGCTAGAAAATAATATCATAGCCGCCGTCCGTCCGCCGCTGACCGGCTGCCCAGAATTCCAAACACTAGTAATTGCATATTCTCTGTGACAAGGTTGATGACTCGCGCTACGTGCGTGCGTGCGTGTTCGGCGCGCAGCAGTAGCAAGACTTTAACGCCCAGAGGCTGTGGAGTTATTATTATTCGTGTAACAACGTGTACGCTAATCTGCGGCGATCTTGGAGTTTTTCACCAAGAATGTTGGCGCACTGCTTGTCCTTTCCGTTGATATTTTCCTATTCGATAAACCGTATTCATATACTCAACATAACATACCCACATACCCACAACAATCATTTGAGCAACAGAGTTTTTTTCGCTGAGCATTTCAATTGTGTTTCGTTGCGCGCGGTTTTTACTTCACCTTTTGTGCAAGCATATTGCAACTGTAATTTATTTTATTTTTTTCTCAACTAATAACATTCGACTTGAGATTTTTACATTATTGCTGATCGGTCCCATTTGGGTTATTAACGGTTTTCTGCGCCTATCCCCGGACATCTTTTTCACGCTTATCATTTACTCAACAATTTATGTACAACAATGACATTTCATTTGAAAATATAAACATACATTTCACAAGTTGCACTTTTACAAATATTGTATTTTCTTGTATTACCTATTTTATGGTAGGTACGTGTATTTTACAAAGGGATCATCTCGCTGGAATTTATAGATGCTTACTCATATATGATGGATATGGTTTTCATTTTCTACTTATGAATACATGGGTATTACAAAATAATATTGCAACTGCCAACATAGTAAATATCAGGGTTAGTACTATACGCGTATAAAACGGATAATATATTTTGTTTTTAAAATTCACTTTTAAAAAATTAAAAAAATGCTTTCCATTTTAGATAATAAGTTAGGTTTACAATTATCATACTTAGTAAAAATATATTATGCAATTAAAAATTATTTTTATTATCTTATATATATATATGATAATAAAAAATAATTTTCTTTGCAATTTTTTTCTTTCGAAAATAAAAAAGTAATAAAATATCCCTACAAGCACAGAATATAATATATAATATTATTTATAAAATACACAATTTAAATGTTTCCAAATTAATAATCTGGAGTATTTGTATGCATATAAAATAAAAGGCTTTTTATATTTCCTTTGATGTTTCTATTTTATATTTAATAATACAAAAAAAAACTAATTAGGTACCCATGTACAATAATTGTTATTTAAACTAAAATATTTACATTAACTATTAAATATTTTATTTTTTGTGTTTAATCTAATGACAATAATATTAAAAGTGTTATAAATATAACCAGTACGAAATTACTATAAATAGGTTCATGATAAGATAATAGATTAATTACACCAAAATTGTCTATTTATTATTTATATTTCCTTTTTTTTTTTTTTTTTGTTACATTATATTATAAATATATTTTCGTTAATAAGGAATTTAATTTTTATACGTTTGTGTAACACGTGTTATACAATATTATATGTTTCAACCTGGTATATATGTATACCAGGGGCGGCTCGTTAGGGGAGACTTTGAGACTACGTCTCCCTTAAAAAAAAAACAGCTACTAGTAAATAATAACTATTTAAAAATAAAAATATATAGAAATAATTTTAATTAAAAATATGTTATATCGTTATCTTTGTTTATTATAAATTAAAAGCCACAAAATCTAAAACCTTTAAATAGTTATTTCAATGGAAATACTATTTCAATCATTTCAACAACTGTCGTCGTTTCAGTGAAACTGATGCCCGACAGGTTCAACAGTAACATTTAATGTTTGGGGTTGTTGGTCGGAGAGAGTTGGGGAGAGCAACCCGCGTATTATGGACACCATTGAAACTAAGTTCACGACAATAATTTCCGTGCCATCATTAGTCGCTATACGTCGTTATCTGCATTTATTTGTAAGTTCTCAGAAGTAAATAAGTTTATAAAAAAATGTAGTATTAAATTAAGGTTAAAATATTAACTAAATATTAAATAAGGTATTAAGTATAATTAAGATTCCACGAAAATGGTTTTTCTTGTTCGTTGTTGTATGGACTTTATGTTAAATGATTTAAGTCTCCTCATAATATTTACTAAGAGTCGCTACTGTTGTATACAGCTCCATTGATGTAATGACGCCGTATTAAAATGAAATTGGGGAGGGGGCAAAAATTATTTCTTGCTACCCACCACCTATTACATCATAAAAACTTATACAAATAGTAATTAATACATAGTTTTTTTGGATACGTATTGACCCCAATCTACCGAAAAAAGGGGGTGGTCACCCCCCTTTGGTTATAAGTTTGGTGCCACTGCACTGATGTATTATTAATAAGTTCCAAAATACATTTTAGTGACTGAAGATATGATAGTAAAGATAACTATTTTTACTTTTTCCATAAAGTTAAAATATAAAATTCTACCACGTTGTAGATATGTAGTAGATGATAATAAAAAAAGTCCAGGGAAGAACAATTAGCGAAATTATAATATGGAGGAACAATAAATCATATTGATATATCTGATGTTAAAAAACCATTAAGACCCTAGAGTTTTTGTTGTAGATCTCAGTGAACAATTTTTTTTTTTTTTATCGGCTTAATAATGTTGCCATTTCTGGTTACTTCTTCCCAAATTTGAATAACCTTACCTTTTTAAACGAGGAGCGTGTCGTTATGAAATCCTTAGTAACGCCATCGACTATAGTCATTGAGTATATAATGTATATTTGAATGTAAGAGTTGTAAAGTCTTACGTATATTATATAACTTGATGATTTAAACAAAATCAATAACAAGAATTGACATATTATTTAAATTATAAGTATAACCATTGATTTTATAATATACTATATATAATAATATATTATAAATTTATTATAGTATATTATGAAATCAATGGTATAACCCAGGTCAAAATAATACCTAAAATAAATTATAGTAAACTAATTAAAACGTTAATTTCCCACGCCAATAAATAGAATAACTAGTTAATTACTCTGTGGACATTAAATTACGTATATATTTAAACGCAATTTAAATAAATATAAATATATTGTACTCTATGAAATGATAAGTAATTGTATAGTTATTACAATTATAAACTATTCATTAAAAATTATAAATAAATAATAACATGAAATAAACTAACAAAATAATTGATAATCAAATATAACTATTGCAAACATAGCTTTTTCGGAAGTATTTTAGCTCAATTTTATTATTTTAACTTACTTTATTTTATTAACAAATTGATTATATTATATTATATTATATTAATAAAACCATATAACCGAAAAAATTACCTTATGTAAAATATAAAAAAATAAAATTGTTTTATAGAAAGCGTTAAATAGATATAATCTAAATAATGCGACCTTATTGCGATTTGAAAATATAAAATGGTATGTGATTAAGTTACGAATTTTGGATAAAAGTAATTCGGTATCGGTTATTGCGTCCCTCGAACAAGAACATCGGTATTATTTTTAACTATTTCATGCTAATATACCATAACGTTTATAACTAAAAAATATATTTAAATCAATGAAAATAATACTTAAGTTTCTTTACCCATTGTTTCATGTGATCAATTTATAGTAGTAGGTATTTACTTATTTATTTTTTTATTTTATCATTTATTTCATATTTTTTTCATATTAGCTTTAAATATAATATATTTATAGATCAAACGTAAATTATAAAATCGAAAGATGAAAAAAAATTCAAAAATATTTTAGTTATTTAACTGATTCGTAACTAACCTACATTACTTAAGTATACGTATTTTTAGTAAGAACATATTTCAAGATTAGCTGTATATTATAATACAACGAGAGAAACATACGAGTATATAAATCATATGAGTAAGGAGCCATGTGAGAGCATAATAATTTAATTATTAATTTAATAATAATAAATAAAAATTTGCAAACATTTGGGTGATTTGCAAAATATAAAAAACAAATATTAAATAATATAATCATGTTAATACATGAGTATTTTTACACAGATTAATTTTAATGTCATAACTTATCTTTTAAATTAACCAAAATAAAGCTAAACAAAGAAACTATAGAGCATTTTAAAAATTATACTTTGTATAATTATGACCTGTTTACCAATACGTAAATTGCAATAATTTGTATAGAGTTGAACACATTTGACATTTTAATATTACATTATTTAAAGAAAAATTATCCCTCTTATTCTTTTTTCCTATTATAGAATAAATACCATTGTATATTAGTATATTACTACCAATATTTTAAAAATTTTTTTGAATTAAAAAAAATATCGCTGTTTTCCCGAAAAATATTCAATAAATATGTTGTGTGTAAGTTTTAAGTAGTTATAATAATAATAATAAAAAAAAAATAATACGATTTATGTAATTATGTACTTATTTTTATGATTGTTAGTGAATATATTTTTATTTTTTCTTTGAAGTGGAAATCGCCATTAGGTAACTAAATTCATTTTTTAAAATATTATTTATTTATTATATTTTGGTTTAATTTTATAAACTACATATGTATTGATTATTTAGAAGAATTAACTGTGTAATATTTATATTCTAGTTGATAAACCTATTACCTAATTAGAAATAATTTTCATCAACATTCTTATAAATTTTTTATTTGTTTATATTTATGATTAAAATTATATTTTTAAATAATTAAATCAGAAATTAAATCGTAAACACGCAGGAATTATATTTGTTTTGTAATTATAGAATATAAATTATCGAGTTATTACGATACAATGGATAAACGTTATTTTGCCACGCATCAGTAATTATTAATGAAGTGTGTTAAAGATAAAATTAGACTCATAATGACTCTGGAAATGACTGAGAAATAGCAATGTTGACATCCTCGAAACATGTTAAATTCTCGAGTTTGGAATAGTTGACGATTTAAAATCAAATAAAAAAAAAATTAATAATCTAAATAATTTTTTTAATTTGGAAATAAAGTTATAAAACTAACTATTGAATATAACGAAGTGAGTTTTATCATCAGAAGCTGAAGTAATGTGATGTGACTATTTTGATATATTTAAACGAAAATTATTTAAAAATGTTTATTGAAGTGTGTAGACTATTTTTATTACAAGTGATTTTACAGTATACTAAACTAAAATTGTTATTCTTTATTCATTTAATTGATATATCAGGAATATTTAGAGGTATGAAATATATTTTGGAAACTATTCAAATACATACGCACGAATATACTAATATGAATTACATTTAAGTTATTGATTTGATACAATTTATATTTAACATTTTTTTACAATAAATATAAAAATTACAAGTATACTATATTTTCAGATTAACGGAAAGTTAAATTTAATTTTTACTAAACACTGGACGTTGAGTAGGTTGATAGAAAGATACATTTAGCATTGCTCGTTTCTCTACATATACAATTTTATGACCTTGTGTTTTGCTATTTTACTCGGTATTTTATAAATATATTTTAACGTTGCCTTTATATTTATTTTATACATTGTAACACGGATGTTTATTATTTGAATAGGGATCAGTTTCCATTTTAAATGACGAATTATTCTAATACTCACGTTTTGTATGAGGTATAAGTTGTTAATGTACATTGTATTATATGCATTACATTTAGTTATTTAATATTTAATGTGCATTCAACCTACTTATGTATGAAGAATTGTAAGATAATAAAAGTAAAAATAATTAAGTATTACGAAATGTGCCAAGTTACACTTATAATCGAAATAATTTTAAATGTTATACTTTTATCATTATTGATAAGAGTTTGAAATAAATTAATAAAAAAATGCATTTATGTAATTAATGCCACTATTCAAAAATATGAACAAAAGTTATTATAACGTTTTGTCATTTGTAATGACGTACTATTTATTTATAAACTATTAGATGAAGTATATAGTTAGCCCTAACAAAATGTACTGCAATTAAGACGTGATATTAGATTTCTTTAAGAATGCTGTCTATAATATAAAAAGAAAGAATATTATAAAATCAAATAAGTATATCTTCATCGTATTATTAAATTTGAATTTTCATTGACCTAAATATTGGAAACAAAAGCAAATTCTATTAATATAAAAGCCTACCGTACTTCAATGAGCCCTACACTGTTATAAGTCAAGTTTGATAGACTATATAGTATACACATTTAAAAAACTAATCAATTTCAGTTTTTATGCTGAATAAGTATTTTTATTTTATAAATGATGCCAACCAAACATTATTATGTTAAAAATAAAAAAATAATACCTATTAAGTGGATAATGTCAAGTTTCCGGGTTTGACGCAGTAAATATATTTGTATTTTTCTAATTTTAAATTTGAGGATACTGTGTAACATGAATCTAGGATAGGTACATACAATTAGTAAATAATATTACTAATTTTCTCCTTACCTACTTTTCTTTTTAGTCGGTATGGTGTAAAATAATTATATGCTGTAGGTACACGTTTCTGACGGTTATTTTTTAAATACAAATAATGACACTAGTTTTTCGTTATTCTAAATTTCGTTTTGTATATTTTTCATATGTTTCATTGCAGTATTTATTAATTTAATAATCGTTGACAAATCACAGTAGATGACGAATATGTTATTAAACATTCGATTCAGTGTATGATGCAGCTAAATATCGTAGAAAGGCTTTTATTATTTTTAATTTCTATATTTAATTCTTACAATTAAATCATATTCAATACTTGTATGGTGGTTATTGCGTCTTGTTTGTTCTTATTCGAGAGACCAGTGTCCATGTCAATTATTGTACTTATAAGACAATTTGAGCGTATAGAAATATAAATGCAATGTGTACAGATATCGCGGCGTGGACAGAACTTTTTTTTTGCCACATTGTTCTAGACTTTCCTTTTTTTCTCCGATTTATCTACGTTTCTCTTTGATCGTCCAATAATTTCGTACATTCTAACAAACGTCGTTGTTTGTATCTCAAACCCGCTCACGCTCTACCAGGGTTAAATGTAAATGTATTTATCAGTTATATATTATTCACAAACGATGTATCTATTTGTAAATGCATACTACTACTACTACTACTAGTGTTGGAGAAACCTCACCATTTCTATGTTTGTCAGTGGTTATGGACATCACTGTGACGAAGATAACGACGACGACAAAACACAACAACAAGTGTATCTAGGCCATAACATTTGAACGCATGTGCAGACCTCTACCCACACTCTGTTCCTCTTTTTTCGCGCTCGGTCGGTCGTTCACGTGCGCAAGCGCGCGCACGCACACACACACACACACACACACACACACACACACACGCCAAGACCCTTTTTCACTGCTCGACAATACACGGAAAATCTCCTACGGACAGCAGTAGTCGATCAGTGCATTTTCCAATGTGCCGCGCGTTGGGCAGCCGAGAGCGATTCGCTCGCTGAAACGTTTCATTCGTTAGTTTTTCCGTTCGTCGGACGATTTCGTGCTAACCGTCCTTTATCTATTATTTATTTATTTTTATTCATTCTCTTTGACTAAGTTTTCGTTTTGTGAAAATCGTCAATATCTTCGTTGTCGCTTAACTACCCACCCTGCGTCTTAGCGCCAACACACACACACAATGCGCTCGGCGACGTGGGTAGTCGTTACTCGTTCGAACATCACATGACCCATATCCCGTCGTTCGGCTAAATACATGCTGCGGTAGTGCTGTCGGTGTTCGGGACCGGCGGTGGTCGCGCCCGTCGTTGCTGTTGCTGATCGGCGTAGCGCCGACCCGAGATGAGGGTACACGGCGGTAGCCCAGTGCGTTAACGGCCGGCCGATCTTCATCGTAGCGCTGAGAACTCGAACCGGAGCGGTCACACGACATTCCATCAACGTAACGTCGCCGTGGTTATAGCCATTAGAAGTGTAGGGTGTTCGCCATCATCATCGACGATGTTTCCCTGTTTTTGGAATTTCTGGTCTTGGTGAGTGGTAGTAGAGAGTGCGATGCGTGCGATTAATGTGTCGCGTACACGCAAATATTCGGTAAACTATCACCACGTATGATTTCTGTGCCGCCATTGTGTAGTGTGTTTCGCGTACTCTATTATTATTATTATTTTTAGCATCGTATTTTTCAAGTGGGCTCGCGGAAAGAAGTCAAATGTTACGTGAAAAAGAAATAAAATTAAAATATGTAACTCACGATAAACATAATAGGTACGTACGCGTGTACCTTTTTTTACGCTTGTATATATCGAGCACGCATGAATGGGCGCCAAGGTGTCGTAAAATACGTGAAGTGTAAATGAAAACCTACCGCTATGCCGTGTGGCAGTCTGATCGATACAGTATTATAATTGTTAGTGCCGTTTGGCGTTTATTATTTATAATAAAAAATAAAAGTAAAATAGTACGCGTTATTCAATGTATATATATATAGTAGTACTATCGTTATAATAAACTTACTAAGTAGGTACTTGTTATTATAATTATTATTACAATGTAAAAAATCCTATAATATGCACGTAGAGCGGTTCACACGAAAATCGTTTCAATTTTAGTAGTCATATTAAACGATGTGCAATAGTTGAAAACCTGACGGTTATTTTAACGGTTTTCTGACGAATTGTATAACATTTCTGTAAGGACGTTTATAAACATTAGGCTGCAATTTTTTAATTCTGTATTGATAGTAATTATTTTTACTATTGTATAATGTTGTATACTGCATTATGTTATTTTAAATTCTCAATGAAAAAAACGACACTTATATATGTATTGATTTTACGACGATATTTCTATTTCTATTCAAATTGATTCGGTTTGGAAACTTACGATTTTGCGAGAAAAATTAAAAAAGTGCAATTGGAATTTTTCGATGGTATCTAATCTCGTCACTGATGTATATTTTAATAAATCTTATTTTAAACGAGTATGATCAGAATTTTTTTATACATATTCTATTATTTTTAGTATATTTGATGTTTGTTGTAAAGTACATTTTACAAATAAATTCCTTTCCTCCCCTAATTTTGACTATGTTCGTGAAAGTGATTAAATAAATATAATTTTATAGATTATAGGAGAAGAAAAATATAAATATTTTCAGCAAAATAAAATTAACTACAGACATTATTTATTGATGCACTCGTGTCAAATAGGATTGGCTTCTTAAATATGGTTTTCGGTTTTATAAAGCCACTATTAATGATATTTGTTTTATAAAATTAATGTTTAAGGTAGATGGTTTTAACTTTCAATAGGTAACCAACAGCATATTTTAATTTAGCTAAATGTAAGCCTAAATGTTTTATTTTACATTATTTGTTTATTTGTACTTAAAACCAAAATATTAAATAAATAGAGAATACATGTATATTATATACAAATTGAATACTTTATTTAAATTTAAAATTTAAAAAAAAATATTATTTTGGCTATAGAAAACTACAAGTGAAAATATGTGCAAATTATCGTCATGTGAGGGTAAAAACTCCCTAGTCTCACTAGAGGGTGGTTATAATGGGGTCTTTTTGTGCACACCCTTGTTTGTATTCAACAAAGCCTAATATTTTTAGATTTAGTAACAGCGTGCGAGGCAAACGAATGGCTGTTAGAAATATAATAAGATTGGAAATCTCTGGGTTTTAATAAATGATGAATTCATCTTACGATTATGAAAAGATTTTTGAACATGTGTGAATGATGCAAAAATAAAGAATTCCAATTCATACGAACAATAATGAATGTATACTTCAAATCTTAATACAATGAATTCATAAAGGATATTTAGAATTATGTTTCATTAAATATTATGATTATGAAATAATAAAAACTATTATTGATTATAAATGAAAATAATATCTTTTGAACTGTGTATTACAATACATTATGAATAATAATACGTATATATATATATATATATAATGTTAGGTTATTAATCAAAATAATATGATGTATGATAAAACAATTAAAACTATACGATATTATATAAAACAATACATTTTTTAACATAATGATTAGGTGTTACTTATTATTCATTATAAATAATTCCGTTTAATTTGTCTACTGTTCATGTCCTCACGAATTCACATAAAAATATGCAATACGGGTGTATATACGTGTCGGATTTACGTAATATTTATACTGGGGAGATTATTTTTACCAAATATTAAGTATAATTTTAATCAGGAGAATTTATTTGAAATTTTACAGAAAATATAGATTTATAATTATAAATATATATTTTTCGTACAATGCTCATATTTATAATATAAATCGTTATAGTTGTATTAAACTAATTATTGAAAAAAATTATAGGGTAGAACCTGCAACAACATCGGCAAATCCAACAGTTGTTACGATGGCTACTTTAAAAAAGGTAAGAAAATAAAAAACTGCTTTGATATTTTAAATATTATGTTGATACATTTATTACATTTTAGTGAAAACAAATATCGTGTGTTTATAATATCATTAAAAATATCTAGACAAATTCATAAGTAAATAAATAATTATTTAATTAGAGCTTAGAAAATGATCCATGATAAATAGTTTTAATCTTAATTTTTTAGCCACATTAAACCTTGCATTAAACTAACCAAAAGGAATAACGTTAGCTCATGAACAGAATACCTAAGTATTAATTGTGTATATCCAAAATCTGAATGTAGTAGAAAATAAGAATTTATAATAAAGAATATATTCAACTAAAGAAAGGTGACCTTGTATCTTCAGAAAACGTGACCATCTGTTATGATGGTTATTAAAAAAACATCATGACATGTACATTTTTTTTTGTCTAAAGAAAAAAATCCTAGGATATTGTAACAATTCACTGAACCGTGATTTTTATGTAGGTACTATGAGTTTTGGTCCATTAAATCAATGTGTACTGTATATATGGACAATTGATATATTTTTGTATATTTTACCATATAGTAAACTAGTTTTTATAAATCTTAAATAGAATTTATACGTATTTGATATATTGTATATTATATTACATAATTTAAAATATATGTTTTCGGGACATTCAATCTAACATTACTCAAACCAAATCAAAAATGAATACACTTATACCCTCGTAATATTTTAAACCTAATCATTTTTTTTTGTACTAAATTTTTAATTTATATTTCTTTAATTCATATTTATTAATATTCTTGTCTATGAGGATAAATAATAGTATAAAAACTATTTATTTAATTCTAAATTTCAAGTTTAAAGTGAAATTTTTATTTTTGTCTAAACCTGTTAAACATTCTTAAGATTCAAGATTATTCAAGACTTTTTTTTACATCTTAATCAAATTAAATACCTATTAGTTTTGGGTATTAATTGGTATAGAACAATTTTTATGTGTATTATAGATATTACTTTAATATTAATATTTTATGTATCTTGATTTTATTTAGTGAACTAATTTAGTCTTAAAAAAAATGAAATTCAAGTTTTTAAGAATAAATCAAACATCAAATGTGATTATTGATTGTATTAATAAATAATAATTAATGGATATTTTTATTATAATGATACATATGTTTTTAGAATTCTGTTGTGGTCACTCAACCTATGAGAAGAGCTATGATTGGATCTAGTCCCCTAAAGTCACCTCTTATCAAAAGACCACAATCTGCTTCTGTTACTTTACAAGGTTGGCTATATAAACAAGGAAGTGAAGGTTTAATGTTATGGAAGAAACGATGGTTTGTTTTATCTGAATACTGTCTTTTTTATTACAAAAGTGAGTAATCTTTTTCTTTAAAAAGTAATGAGTTCTTAATTGATTGATTATAATTATTTTTCTATTATTTTTTTTATTTTTTCTTGATTTAGATGAAGAAGAAGAAAAACTTTTAGGTTCTATTTTGTTACCTTCGTACAAAATATCACCTTGCTGTCCTTCGGAAGATAAAATTTACAGAAAATTTAGTTTTAAAGCTGAGCATGATAATATGAGAACATATTATTTTGCTGCAGATACCAGAGAACTTATGGTTCAGTGGATGAATGCTTTGAGCTTAGCATCAATTCTCCAACAAAATAATGGGTTATTATAAATATTTAATCAGATTAAATTATACATGTTTTCTTATAAAAATTATGTTTTTAATAATAGATACAAAGAACGAAACAGTATAAAACAGTCACAATATATTAATCAATTAGGTAATATGGATTCAGGTTACTTAAGTTCATCTTTCTATTCAACACCAATATCATACTATAACAATGATTTGACTTATAAAGCTCAAAATAATCAAATTGCTCAACCTCTTTATGCCAATGCACCTCCAAAGCCTAGACGTGTTACTGAATCAAATGAAGATCATCCTCAAATTGCTCAACCTCAATATAAGCCATTAACACTAGTCCAAAATTTAAATAGGTCTCAATTAAATAATTCTGAACGTAGAACACCTGATACATATGGGCGTCATGATGTAAAATACCCAAATCATAGTGAGTATGAAGAAGTTATTGATGAATATGTACCAAGCCCAGTTAAATATAGAGAAAAAAAATATTCTCACAGACCTCATAGTGCTGATTTCTTAGAATATGATGTAAGACATGTTTATCAAACACAAACTCCAAACAATAATTTTTCTTATAAATCCCCAGAATATTATAATACTGTAGTAAAACATAGCAAAAGACCAAAATCCAGTTTAGATTTTATTGATAATTCAGATAGTTATTGGTCAGAAAATGCATATGCAGAAAAAATGAGACAAGCTTCTCAAAGTTTAAGCAAAGAGACTAATTTAAATCGCACAACTGCTGTATCATTGAGACAACTTGGAATTTATTTAAATGATATTAAAGCTGAACCAGTAGATGGTTCTTCTACACAGATGAAAAGTCATCATAATTATATCAAAGAACAAGAAAAAAGATGGAGTGAATATGTTAACTCTTTTAACAGATCAGCTAGCGCTAGAGTGACTAGAAATACAGATAAACGTAATTACGAACATAATGAACACAAGAGAAGTACTAGTTTACAAAGAAGAAATAGCATTGATTCCAGAGATAAGGATAAAAAATCACAACAAGTGAGTAAATTAAATGGTTTTATATGTTTTTTTTTATAAATTATACCAATTTTTTCTATAGAGAGAAGAATCTATGAAACGACTTTTAGATTGGAAACAACGTATGCTTCAATCAACTTTAACTCGCAGATCTTCAGGATCTTCAAATCGTGGTTCTGCTCAAAATGAATTATCTAAGTATTATAAAAAAATAACTGATAATCGAATGTCAGTTAAAAATGAAGATAAAACTATTGTTAATTGTACTAATAATTTCTACAATAGCAAGTACAACAATGATAGTTTTAGTTATTCTAAAAACGATTTAACAATTGAAAATGATTACAATTCTTCTGATGATGAAGGTAGGAATAATTGTAATATATTATTACTTGTTTACTTTTAATATAGAATAAATAACTAATTATCTATTAGTATCATAAAATGCCTTTATTTTGTGGTAAATATCTTCTTATTCTGTCAACTAACTTTAAGTAGTAATATTTTAACGCAATATTTACAAATGGGTGATATCCTTTTAAGGATTTTATCCGAAGCGCTAACTGCATGTACAAGATTATTTTAAAATGGATTATTTAACAATTTTGGACAATTATTTCTCCTAGAAGTTAAAGAAGGCAGAGAAAGTCAAGTAGATATTCCAGTATCAGTGGCCAAAAATGTCAATGAAATTACTCCAGACTCAAAATATACTAATACAATTAATTTTTATACCAAGCCGGCAGTCAAGCAGCATCTTTCTGATGAAACTGCCAGTTCAACTAATTCCTATTTTAAAGATGACACGCTATTAGTAGATAGTAGGCATTCAGACAGTGGATATGATACTTTACAAATGGGTAGTGTTCTTTCATCCAAAGATCCTGATATTGATCGTCTATTGAAATTTGATTTTGGTAAAAAAACCAATGGCATACAAAATCTTATTAAAAATTTTGAATTCAAAGATATGAAGGAACCATTACAATCATCTTCTTACCGTTCAAATGAAGCACAAATTTCATCATTAAAAAGGGAAGATATTAGGTATTCAACCGCTCAAAATCCTCAATCTGTAAGAGATTTATTAGCAAATTTTGAGAAAAAGAATGAACGTTGTGTATTTAGTGATACCGAAACACTTTTGTATGAAACATCAAGTGATACGGAACCTATTATAACAAATTCTTCGAAGCGTATTGAAACTTTATCCACAGATGAAGATGATCCAGAAGTTGTAGATGTATTGGGACAAAAAACTGATCCAAATGATGAACAATACTATTTGCCAATGACACCATCTAAAAAATCAGTATTAGAAGAAGATATTTCTAAATCCAAGCTAGTGATTGTAGATGCAGAAGATCAAGAAAATTATGTTGAAATGACCCAAAGTTCTAAACCTATACTTGCTCCATCACCCAAAGTTGACAAAAAATCACATTATGAATACATTGCTTATAAAACAAATTCGAATTATGAACCGGTTTATACAGAAGTAAAAAATAAAACCTTACCAGATATCCTTAAATCATCAACTAATGTTAATAGTTCAATAAAATCTGATAGTTCAGATGCTGATGACGAAGCCTCGAAGGATTTAGATTCCCTTGATACACCTTGTCATCCTAGATTTAGTTTATCTGATACATTTAGACCAGCCTCTTATTACTTAGGAGCTGCGACCAATGAAGATACTCATGACTCTTCAGATAGTGATTTAGTTTCTCCACCTCCTATGAACTTTGATAAAGACAATCAACTTAACACTATAAGAAAAAAAATGGAAACATTAATACAGTCCGCTTCAGAATCCGATTCAGATTCTGGTAAAAAAGAAAAACAAAATGCCTTTAATGGAGATTTAGATTCAATTGGAAGCAGAAATGGCATGTATGAAATCGACATAAATTTAGATGACTATTTAGATAAACAAAATATCGAGGAATATGATAGATTCTATGAAAACTATTGTAAAAGTTTAGAAAATAGAAGATTAGAAAACTCTGAACCAATACCTGGTGCCCCATATTATTATTCAGATATTTCAAATGGAAATTTGAGGTCATTGACTCCAGAACCTCAAGGTGCAGAAGGTTATACAATGCGTCGCAGAAGTCGTTCGCTCGAAGGTGTACTTGATGATAGTGTTTATTGTAATTTAGAACCTAGAAAGTGCACCTCACCAAAAAAAGCAATATCACGATTATTACGCACAGCAGAAATGAAGTCTCCTGGAGCAACTGAATTGGCAATTGTAAATTTACCACTACGATCAAGATCATTGGATAATTTAGATGCAGAACCAGAAAAAAAAACTGGACGTCAAAGTGCAGATATTTTGAATAGTAAAAGAAATGAAGCAATGTACGTTAATGAGGCAGTGTTTGACCGACATAAAGAGTATAAGGATGATTATCGTTCAGTTAAGAAAGGCAGATGCAAGAGTGGATCTCAGTCTTTTTTAGAGGAGGGCCTATACCCGATGACACGGCCACCATCAATGGAGCAACTGGATCGGGAGAAACTAAGGCAGTGGGATCTAATGTCAACTGTCCCTGCCGTGATGTTGGGTGCAACGCGCGGGTACAGTCGTACTTCCGAGAAACAAGTGACATTGATGCCTGCCGAATCAAACACAAGGCCGCCATCGCTAAGTCTCCGTTTGGACGAAACACCAACAAGCTCGCCAGGTTATTAAAAAATAAAAAAAATATAATATATTTGTAAATATACAAAATATTTTATTTTTATATAAAATTTTTTAAAAAAAAACCTTCCCTTAAATAATTTTGTACATAAAATCAAGTATAGAATATGTTTTTAATAAAGATATTTTGTCAACTTAATTTTAATGTTTATAAGCAGATAACATTTTATACTATGCTCCTTATGCATTTTTTTATTCTATTTATCTATAATATGATCACATTAAAATTAATAGGCTTTAGCATGTAGTAGATCATATGCGTTCCATTTTTTGTATCACATTTCATGATGATTTTAGCCAAAGTATTCCCACTAAAAAACATATTCTATAATATAGAAGAATATTATTCAAATAAAATTTTATTAATGTATTATTGAATAATAAATAATTAATTATACTATCATTTAGACTTAATGTGTAAATTTTAGATATAATAATAATTGTTTATCAATTAATTTCAATATTATAATTTATATTTAAGTGTTTCATATACTGAATAATTCATTATTCATATAATATTTGAAATTGGCTACTATAATATATATAATTATCATACTTACTTTATAGTGTCCGGTTGCGGATCAGCGATTGGACAAGGTCCAATTCATCGAGAATATCAAGAAATCAATAAAATGATAAATGAAACTATGGGCAGCAAAAATATTTATTCTAGCCATAGAAATATTAGGGTAAGCAATTTTGAAATTTAATAATAAAGCAGTACAACACTAAAATTAACAATAAAATTGTTTCTTTAATTTTCTAAATAATAAACTTTTTGTAGCTTTGCTTGATTTTGTTTATTTTTGGCTGTTTGTTTTTGTTTTAATTTTGTTTTATTATTTCTATCCATATATTAAAAATTATTAGAATAGTCAATGGAACTTGACAGTTTCTGCTGGTGAACTCTTAGGCCAAACGCACGAAGAATTAGTTTTACTATTAATTCAATTAAGAAGGCAAAGGGTTTCTATTTGTAAAGCAATGGAAATGTGCCATAATGATATTGAAACACAGGTTTGTTTTTGTTGTTTTGGCATATATGCTTTATTATTTATAAGTATTTATTAGTTATTTATTATTATTATTTCGTATCTATTTATTTATTATTATTTCACAATTGAGAATGAAACAACTATTTCATTTACATACAAATATATTTATATGTGCATACAGTAGAATCTTGACAATTTAAGACTTAGGAACATAAAAAATTAAGTAATATAAAAAGTAAAAATTAATTAATAGAATAAGTATTATATATTTTTATTGATTTTGATTAGGTATATTTTTTTGAGTAATTAAAATTTTAAATTATTTCTTTAAAAATATCAAATTATTGCATAATAGGCAAAAAAAAATTTAATTATATATATTAACTTAACTTTTTATTTTCATTTAATAATTTATTTATTAAAATTTATAATACAGTGAATATAACAACATTAACAGAATGCATATATTTTGATTTGTAACTTAAAAATGTTTTGCATTAAAATATTATGATTATGAATTAATATGGTTTTATCAAATATGAATTATCATTTTTATCAAATTAGACAAGATTAACTGAGCTGGATACTCCAACTAAAATAGAGAATTTACAAAGATTAGACGAACTGAAGAAACATTTATTAGAACTTGAAAAACAGGTAATATATTATTAGCTATAAATATATATATATATATCGTAGGCATATAGTCAAATCATACCGACTATAGGGTATACAATATATTCGTACTATCATCTACATCTATCACATTTAATTAGTTATTACCTGTATATATCCATTTTTGGAAAATTTCTAGTTTACGGGACACCCAAAAATTTGGCAATTTTTTTTGGGGGACATAGTCATATTTTGGGTGAAAAAAATGATGATGAAATTAGAATTTGGCGTTAGAACTTAATTTTGGAGTTATGCTTAGTTAAAGTTTATAACTTTACACCAAAGCTCTTAAATATTTATTTTTCTCCAATTGGATCATTTAAAAGTGTTGCACAACGGTAGCAACATCGTTTATTTATCCACGTAGCTGAGTTCGATCCCCGCATAGGTAAAATAAAATTGTGGAATTTTTTTTTTTTTGAACGATAATTTTGTATCTGATTTGATCTCTTATCGTAATGAGAATTATTTACATTTTTTTTTTCGAAAAATCAGAACTTTAATTTTAAAAATCTTAGGACTTCGCTCGTTACGCCTACCGGCTCCACATACAAACTCGAGTGCCATTGTGTGGCACTTTTCGGGGGGATGGGACTTCGCCCCAAGAGGAATTATAGTCTAAACCTAACCTAGTTTTTGTACAAACCTTGATACTGTTGTAAATGGGATTATGCTCTGCATGTGAACATAAAACCTCGCTACGCGATTTAATAAAAACTATCAAACTTCAATAGGCTGTTACTTCCAAAATAATCGTTTGCGACAATTTTCGTTTACACTATCGTTTTCAGCGTTAAAAAATATATAAGTTGACATAAGAAAAAATACGAAATTTTGGGTGTCCCGTAAAGTAGAAATATACCTCATTTATAAAACAATAGTCTTATACCAACGTGTTTTACATATTAATAAATAATACATTGATTTTTTATGAATAAAATAGCAATAAATAATTGATAGAAAATATATTTAAATTTTTAAAATAATACAAAATGTTTTTTTATTATTTGCCTGCCATGAAATAGGCATTTAATCATATTCCTAGTCGTTTAATTAAATTACTAGGCATTTAACTTTATTTGATTTGACTATATGCCTGATTTGACTTTACACCTACGACATACATATATACCGTATACGGTACTGGTATATATAAGCTTAGCCTGGTGTATTATTATATTTGTAAAGTACAACTGGTTTTGAATTAAAAATTCATCGTCAGGTATATACAAAGACAATAAATTATTTAATCTCTCCTACTATTGCATTTTTATTGCTGAATAAAAATTTGATTTCAAAGTTCAATTTTGTCTCTGCTCTTCTCATATCTGGATTTTGAGTTGCGATTTTATTGACTTTGTATATACAGGACTATGAATTTTTAATTTGAAACCGGTTGTACTTTACAATTATAATAATACTTCAGGCTAAGCTTTTATTTATTTATTTCTATAAATAAGCTATTTGCTTATTTATCTATGTATGAGTATTAATCATTTAATTATTTCTTATTTTTTAGTATGAAAAAGGAAAACCTTTAGTAAACCTTGTTGATAACATGGTAAAACTGGGATCACTCTATCAGGCTGGATCTGCACTTGAAAATCCTGATGGACTTTCAACACCAACTATATTAAAAGAACGTTTAGAATTTAATGATAAAGTACAAGAAAAACGCCTTTTGGCAGAAGAAAGTAAAGAATGGCTACGAATTAAACCTGATGTTAATGATCTACAAGAAAAAGTTGACAGACTATATGATTTAGATCAATTAATGCAAGAAGAATCTGGAAATTTACTACATTTAAGACAAGATAAAGAATTATTAGAAAAAGCATTAGGTGGTCTTAGACATAAAATGCAATGTATACATAGTCCTGCTGAGGAGGAACGTTATAAAAGACAACAACATGTATTAGAACGTGAATTGAGTTCAGTTAGATCAGTATTAGCTAATAATTCTAAGGTAAATATTACAATTAAATTATTTTTATAATACATCATGTATATATTATTATTTCATAGAAATTGGAAGAAACTGTGGCTGCAAACGCAAGATTAGAATCGGAATTGGTTGTTTTACGTCAAAAATTACAGTCATCTAGACGTGTACCAGATACAGGTGCAGGAGGCCCCACTGTAGCTGCACTAGAAGCTGAACTTCGAAGAGTACAACTATTGGTTGGAGATTTACAAAGACAACGTGAAGATTTAAGTGTTCAAGTACGGCAGCTTACAGAAAAATCAAACACACTCTCTATGCAAATGAGTAGTGATGAAAATGAAATAAGGGGTAAAAAAAGACCAGCAAATGATTCATGGATCGAAACAGATTTGGATGACTCAATTCAGGAAGATAAAAAATGTAAATTTAATTATTTTTCTTTATAATGAAATATTCATTTATAATTTTTTTATATTTTTTTATAGCCTTTGCCCCAAGAGAAAAACCACAGGAAATAAAGACGGTGAGAATTGTCAAACGAGAATCGGAGAGACGACAAAGAGATAGAGATAAATGTGGTGGCAATATTGGTCTTCCATTAACAAGTGTTAGTGTCAAATGTGTACCTGTAATTGAAGAACCTGATTATAGGGTAAAGCAAAGAATCAATTAAATCAAAGAAATAACTTAATTTTACTTACTTAAAATTATTTTCTACTTTTTCTTTTTCAGATTGAAGAAAATTATGTTAAAAAACTATCAGCACAAGAGCAATTATTTGGCACAACCTCAGAAAATATTAATTATGATACATATTCTGATCTTAACCTTGTAAATCATTCTATGCTTCCAAAAGATGATATACCTTTATCACCAGTATATCAAAGTGAAGCAGCTAGACAAATTGTTCAAGAATTATCAATGAAAGATCAAAATGATAACATAAAGCAAAATGAATCATTAACAAAAAGACTGATACCGAGAGAAAAACGCAGACATCATACTGTTACAAGTGTTCGGCCGTTTTCTATAACTGAACCTTATAATGTAAATTGCTAACAATAATATAAATTTACATAAAACTACTGGATGAGAATATTAGTAAATTTATCATTATTTTTCATTTTTAGAGAGATGGTTGGAGAGCTAGGGATGATGTAGACATGGAACGTGCTCTCAGACCAGGTGCTCCAGATGTAGTCCGATCTACAATGAACAAGACTGAACCTACAAAATTTAGCGCAGAGACTATAGATAGTATATTAGGAACTCCTGGAAAAATATATATACCAGAACGGTATATCCCAGAGTCAGCCCCAGTATCTCCAGATGAACGTAAAAAAAGAATGCACAAAGCTGAAGCTATCAGAAAAATGTTGTCAGAATCAACTCCTATACTTGCTTCAGGTAAAACATTTTCTCATTAAATATATATTTATTTATATTAAGTAATTTATTATCAGAGGGAGAAAATGATGAGCACACAGCCGTTGGTAGAAAAAAAATGATTGAAGAAAAGAAACAAAGAGATCATTTATTACAATTGAACCAAATATTGGCTCAACAAGTTATGGAGAAAAGTAAAGCAGTTGCTTGTGAGTTTTATTTTATATTATTATTAGATAATGTGTTTTTAATGTGCATGATGTTTTATGTTATTTTGTTTTGTATTTTTATCTAACCTGCTTGAGTAGTCACACGTTTTGTTGTAGGTGCAAGTCCCACAAATACTAGAGACTGATAAAATAGCATTAAGGTGTGTTGGAATGTTTGTTTATTGTTGTTTTGAATTAAAAAAAAAATTAAATATTTATTTAATAAAAATTTAATCATTTTCGTAGTGAATGCTGTGACTCAAGCTGGTAAAATAAAACGTTGGTCAACAGAAGATAATGAGCGAGAATTATCACCTGAAGAACCTCTTCCATTATACCAACAAAGAGAAAACTTTTACTCTTAAACTAATCAACAATATTTAGGTTGTGGACCTGGAATTTTTAGGTTGTATAATATGAAATTTAGACCATATTGAAATGTTAAAAATATTTTTTAAATATTTTAATTTTGTTGTATAGTTTTATAGAATGATGTTTTAATAATATGGACAACATATAGACAAAACAAAATTTAATAAGTTAATTATAAATATTATTTTTGTAAATAGAAAAAAAATTAAATTTATTTAAAATTTTCTTGATAAATTAGGAAAAAAATGTTTTAGTTTTTATTATTTATTTGAATATTTTTATTAAAAAAATTATAACTATTATTATATAGTACTTACATAAATCATGTATAATTATTTTTATCTTAAATAAACAAATTGTTATTTCAGTTGCCTTAAAAATATATATAATAATTTTAATCAAAACATGTTCCTTATTCACAGGTAATTGTGCCAATATTAAAACAAAAAATATAGTAAATTGATCTAAAACTCATATTTTACATTATACCTACTGGTAGGATAGATTATTGTATGTTGAATAGACGTTTATATGAATAAAAATTATGTTCACTGCCTATATATATTTAAACTTGTTTATTAAAATATACTTTGAAAAAAATGTTAGTCTTCAATATGTGTAAATTAACACGTATCTCTAGAATGATCACCAATGGTCAATGTCAAATGAGTTGTGAAGTCAATTCAGTGGTGTAACTAGAAGAGTTATTTGAGGCTTTAATACTTGAAATGTTAAACTGGAATCTTACCCTTTATATGATAATTTAAGACAAATGTATATAAATAGGTAAATCAACTTATAAACCAATCACCTGATTAATTAGTAGTACCATATATTAAAAATATTAAGGAGAGGATGGGTATTAGATAAATGGTTCACTAATAATTATTTTTAAGTTCACCATGCCAATCATTCGACTCGTATGAATTTTTAATATTGACACTTATTATCATAGTAATGATAGTAATGCACATTCATACATTTTTCGAAAACGGAGAAAATAATTGAAATTTAAAAATATAAATTTCTCCCAATGGGGCACAAGTTTCTTCTTACCGTCACTGAAATATGAAGTAGTTCTCCCTTTTATCTAATACTTCATTGCTTCTTTGACATCTTCGTCTTACTTGAAATTGGTGCCTTTAAGAGCTCTTACAAGATCTGGGAAGGAGTGTAAGTTCCAAGGTGCCAAACCGGGTGAATAGGGTGGATGTTGAATGACCTTGAAGTTCAATTGTTTAAGAATAACACTGGTTGATGTGTGAGGTCATCTGGTGTTATCATGCTGCAACAAAATGGTCTCAGTTGATTCACAAACGCAACCTCCTTAATTTTTTCAGTGTCTCAATTTGTCGGGCAGAGTTTACAGATGTACTATTTTCCAAGTAATCCATTAGATAAATTTGATTTTAAAAAATTAATTTAAAATTCTATCATAGCAATTGTTTTAATCTCGTTGACATTATATCTGTACTTAGAAACAAGTCGAGTGATGTTCAAATGCAATTTACCAATTATAAACAACTTACCTGGCTTAGCACAGAATATTCTTGGTCGGGGCATAGGTTTAAATGGATTATAACCTTATATTATTTAAAGCAGTTCGGTGTAACTGTTGCTTATAAAACAAATTAAACGAAAGTTTAAATTAATCGGTACAGTAGTATTGGTTGTGCGCTGAATTACCGTTTTTGCCGGTTTCAATATTTGTTAATCCCTTCTTATTGCACGTATTGAGTGTTGGAGAGACGGGAGTAACCGAATTGGTTCCCGTGTGAAAAAGATATTTTATTAAGTTAGGTCGAATTGGTTCCCGTTTGTGTACAGGTAATTTTTAATTTGGTACAAAATATAAATTAGACAGTATAAAATATAAATGTACCTACACGGCTACACTCTATAATCTACAGTATAATATACAATAAGATGGCAATATATTTATATATTGGAAGTTTAGCAAATTATCGGTGATATCCCGATCAATTAAGATAACGATTGAGATATATGTACTTTTATAGCTGTATGGTATATCGTCTATATTATCCTATGTACGAATGACAATAATGTTGGTGAGCAGTGAGCACTGTACAGTCTTGAATAACACATCGTGTAAATTTGTAACTTGTATTTCGTAGTTTAATTTATATTTTTGAATTTTAATTTTTCGTAATTATGGAGTTTATGTTTAGTGAAAAGGGAACTAAGTCGTTGATTATTGACAATTACAAGTTTGGATTCCAAAAGAATCTAGCAGATAACATACAGAGGTGGATATATACAAAACGAAAATGTAAAGCATACGTTAAATTGAACGGAGATTGTTTATGTGAAGAAGTATTAACACATAACCACGAAAGTGAAGACGATGGTAAACTTGTGCGACAACAATTGACAAATTCACTAAAAAGAAAATGTGATGAACTTATTACAGAGCGACCATCTAAAATTATACGTAAGGAAATAGCTTCAAACAGTTATAGTGAGTCACTACTTCAAAATGATATTAACAGAGTCCGTAAAAAATTGAATGCTGCTAAATTAAGAACAATTCCCAAGTTACCTTCTAATCTTGAAGAACTGCATAAAAGTGTCAGTGAATATTCGTTAATAACTAATCTTGGAGAAAACTTTATGACAACGATTCTGTCAACAATATAATTACATTTACATGCACGCAGAACTTGAAACAACTTAAGAAAGCCGCTACGTTATTTTTCGATGGAACATTCAAAAGTTGTCCTAAGCAGTTTTACCAATTATTTTCTATTTTTATCAAGGTACAAAACAGCTATGTTCCTGTCGTATTCAGCCTACTCCCAAACAAAACTACAAACACTACAACACTAACACTACAAACTTGCATTAAATAAGGTCGCAAAATATCTAACAGTTGGCACGGTTTTCGTAGATTTTGAAACAGCTATCCATAGCCATAACTTCACAGCTACAGCAAGTTACAGTTAGAGGTTGCAGATTCCATTTATGTCAGTCATGGTGGAGAAAAATTCAACAGTTTGATCTCTCCAATGAATTTAAAGATAATGTTTCAGAAATCGGACAACTTCTGAAACTATTTTTGGACTGCCCTTATTATCACCCGAAGACGTCGAAGACTGTTTTTATAATGATTTGATGGCCATAAAACCTTGGTGCCCAAAACTGGATCAGTTCTTCGACTACGTTCATGATACATACATAATGACAAACAGTATCTTTCCACCGAAAATTTGGGCTAGATTTGACAAAAATATTGATAGGACTACAAATTGTTGCGAATCCTTCCATTCAAAGCCGAATAAAGAATTTACATCTGCCCATCCTAATATATTTTATTTTATAGAGACTTTAAACAGTATTCAGACATTAAATTATATTAAATTTCGAAGTAATAATACTAGAAAACAAGAAAAAAATAACAAATTCTTGGAAAATTGTATGACTGAGTACACTAATAAGAAGCTTACGCGAATTGAATACTTAAAGAAAGTTTGCTTTAAATTTGCAAATCAACGGTTTTAAATAATTGTATTTATTATATTTTATTATTTGTATTTTATACCTACACCTAGTGATGACTATAGTTGACTTCCAAATCAACGATTTAAAATTATATATATTATATCATTTTTTTTTTTTTTATAACACACTTTAACGCACATTTTTAACCAAGCCTTCTTTTAAGTTGACAGTCCTAAGCCTGTAAAATTGAGAAGGAAAATGTGCGTAAATAAACGGGAACCAATTTGGCTCAACTTAATAAAATACTTTTTTTAAATGGGAACCAATTCAGCTTACCTTAAATAAAATACCTTTTTCAAGCGGGAACCAATTCGGCATGTGGGGTTAGAGCTCGGGAACCAATTCGGTACCAGCCGAAGAGACCACCATGTCAAATTTCAAGTTCATATAGATTTGAGATGTAGCGATGATCAATGAGTACCCGACGTTGCTCGTTAAAAAAATTGTAAGTGTTCAACTCCTTTCGGGTGTTACTCGCTGTAGAACAGGGGTCTTCAACCCGCGGCCACCCTGTCATAATATGCGGCTCACGATCACATTTTAAATTTCACAACAGTTAAGCTATCGCTATCGGAAATATGCGATAAGATAAATTGAATTGCCTATCAAGATATAATTATAATTGTCTGTTAATTCGTAATCGATTGTGGAACGAGTCAGTGGCGTATTTAGGAATTTTTCTAGGGGGGGGATGAAATATATAATAATACATCCTAACACCCATTAATTCGTACATAATATAATTTTTTAAAATCCCCTAACTTGTTACCTATTGAGGTTAGTGTGGATCAAGGCAAAATAAGAATTAATCTTTATAATTACCTCATCATTTTCCAAACAAATTTTTTTATTTGTACTAAAATAAGAAAATAAAGTTTTTTTTTGTTTTTGAATATTACTCATATTGTCTTAAAACTTCACAGTTACAACTTACAAGACGCAAAAAATAAAGTCGTACAATAGTCAATTCGGCAGTAAGTCAGTACTCGGAATGGCGCGGCGTCGCTATCCGTCAACGTCCAATGACCGTACATATCTACTTTTAACGAATCACGATATCATAAGATAAAATATATATATATATATATAGCTATACATTAGCCATAAATCTACTAGTAACAAATTTTCTAAAAATAAACCCGCCCGGCCGCCCTATGGTTAATCCACGATCTTCATGGTCATTTTGTTTTGTTTACCGATTGCTTATCGGGTTTATTATAAACACTCTTGCATGAAAAATAATTCGCAGAAACGTACAAAATACAGTACACTATAATATAGGTATAGTTTTTGTTGCCTGATAGTCGTACATGCCGCCAACGATAAACGATTAGTGGCGATTAGTGTATCAGACTATCAGAGCGGTACAATTACCACGACTAGAACATTTAGAAAACAGAAAACATACATGCTTGAAAGTAATATCATATTAAGAATATTAGAGAAAATGAGACAACTTATAGCTACCTAGGAAAAAAAAAAAGGTCAAGGGGGGGATCTATCCCCCATATCGCCCCCCCCCCCGTAAATACGCCACTGGAACGAGTACAATATTCTTGTTTATGTGTAAAAGTTTCAATTTCATACTTTTTCTTCTTGAGTAAAAAACGTAAAATCTCGGATGAAAGTCGCGTTTTTCAAGAAAAATGGTCCAATAGCTATTTTTTTATTCAAGTTAAAGAAAAGGCAATACGTTTGATTTGTTAAGAATCGATTGCAGTGATGAAAGAGTACAATTTAAAACGACATTATAATACCAAACATGCAGCAAAATATGATATGATACAAGGACAACTTCGAATTGACAAACTTGCATTGTTAATGAAAAATATACAAGGTCAGTCTTCAAGTATAAAAAAATATCATAAAGACTCAGAAGCTAGTGTCAAAACTAGTTATATCATAGCACGAAAAATTGGAGCTAAATCGAAGCCATTTACTGATGGTGAATTTATAAAAGAGTGTATGGAGACCGCCTCTAAAATTTTTTGTCCAACACAAAAACAACTTTTTTCCAAATTGAGTTTATCAGGGGTAACTGTAGCAAGGCGTGTAGAAGAACTAGGAACTGATATTAAGAGTACTCTAAAAGAACGTATTTCTAAATTTATTTTTTATTCGCTAGCCCTTGACGAAAGTACAGATTTGTCAGATACTGCGCAATTAGCAATTTTTATTCGGGATATCGATTCTAATTTTAATATTACTGAAGAATTAGCTGCGCTTTTTCCAATAAAAGGCACTAAAAAAAGTTGTGATATTTTTAATGCATTAAATTCGACACAAAACCGTTTTGACATCAAATTAAATAACCTTTCTGGAGTTATAACAGCCCAATCAACGGTTGGAAAAAATGAAGGGCTCGTAGCGCTAATTAAAAAAGAAATGAGTACATGTAGTGCTTTACAACTGATGCAATATCACTGCATTATCCACCAAGAAAATTTATGTGCAAAATCCGTTGGTTTTCAAACTATTAAGAAAGATGTTGTAAAAATAATAAAATTTTATCAGATCAAGAGCATTGAATCATAGAGACTTTAAAAACTTTTGAATGAAATAGATGTTGAACAAGGTGATGTAATATATTTTACATATGTCCGTTGGCTCAGCAGAGGAAAAGTATTGCAAAGGGTTTTTGATTTAAAAAATTAAATTTTTGAATTTAAAATTAAAAAATGATTTTGCCTATCTTACGGATATTACATTGCACTTGAATGAACTGAATTTACGCTTGCAACGTCAAAACCAATTAATACATCATTTATTTGGCCATATTAAATCTTTTGAAAATAAACTTCTGCTGTGGGAAATTCAGCTAGGAAAAAATAACACTACTCACTTCCAATGTTTGTCAAAATACAATGTCACTTCAAAGGAAAAATACGCAGAAGCAATTTCTGATTTAAAAATCCAATTTGATTCGAGGTTCTTAGATTTCAAAGCTAATTAAAAATTGTTTAATTTGTTTTCAATTCCATTTTCCTTATCAGTTGAAGATGTCCCAGAAAACATGAAAATGGAGATCATTGATTTACAGAACAATACAATATTAAAAGAAAAATACAATAATGTTGAACTTTCAATTTTTTATTCTAAATATATTGACACAGAGACATATCCTAATCCTCGAAAGAACGCATTACGAATGATGTCTCTTTATGGCAGTACTTTCACATATGAACACATTTTTTTACGAATGAAAATTGTCAAATCTAAAACTAGAGCTCGGTTAACTGACATTCACTTGGAAAATTCACTCAGAATTGCATCGTCTCAGATCCAACCAAATATCGAAAAATTAGTCAATGAAAAACATTGTCAGTTTTCACATTAAAAATAAAATAAAAAAAATTTGTAATTAAAAAAAAAAAATGTTTATCTATATATGCTTTAATAATAATAATAATAATTTGTATTTTTAAATGTACCTACCTAATTATAAAATTGTAATAATAAAACTGAATTTTTATATAAGATACATGTTTTTACTACGAATGCGGCAATTTTTTAATGCAAGATAAAAAAAAATATGTGGTCCGCTGCATAAAAAGGTTGAAGACCCCTGCTGTAGAAGCTATGCTTTTCTATGTATAAATCACCCGAAATAATGATTGAAAGAATAATTTGTTATATATTGTAATAGGCAAGTAGTACTCTTGATTTGATATGGGTAATACCCGGGTAATCGTTTATCAGGTTAATACTCGATTCTGTGGGTAATCAACGTTTTCGGGTAGTGGGTACCCATTACCCAAAATTTTCCGGTATCCGATGGTTTTTGATATACGTAAACGGTTTAGCGAAGTCTTAACTGCTAAGAAGTTATCAGTATTAAATTATATATAACACAATTATTCGAATAAAAAATATTAAAATATTTACTCTTTTAAATTAACAAAATTACGTTTTAAAAATAAAATCTTTGGCATTTTATATGAATGTTTTTTTTTTTTTTTTTTTATTAGCTTTTAGATATGAATGTTATTACTAATAACTTATTAGGGATATTATTACAATGATTAGTTTATGAATAATGTCGAATAACATGTTAAAAGCTATTATAAAACCTATATTTAAATCTTGCAGATAACGTGGCCTTATTCGTTACCTTTTATGTGTATATCTATGCAGATAATAATAAGTAATTACAATGGCGTACATACGAGGGGGGGGAGAGGCGTTCAAACCCACTCCCAGGGCCAAAAAAAAAAAAAAATAGAAAATTGTGATATTATTGATGACGTGTAATATATTCATAGTTTCAATGTTACGCTTTGAACTTTAAATATACAACTATACAAAAATTATAATAATTGAATAATTATATTGATAGGCAGTGACGATGCTAGTTTGCGAGGCCCTGGACAAAATAAATGTTGAGTCTTATAATTTATATTAATAAAATATTTTAAGTTCAGTTAAATCAGAACCGCGGGGCCTTAATTATAATTTAAGGCACAGGGCCCTGGGCCAACTACTCATATTGCCCACCCCCTCATGTCGTCCCTGTTGATAGGCGTTTGAAAAGTTTTGTTAACTATGCTGTTTTTATAATCCTATAGCTACTAATTTACTGTAATGTAAAAGTAAATTAAACAGTAAATTGTTGTATAAAATAATATCTATTTATAGCAGTTATTTATCTGTGCAACGAAAAAAAAAGGATAACGAAATTTATCATGTTTTAGAAAAAATATGTATTTACATACAAATCCCAGCTCTATTAATGAGTATACAAACCATAACGGGTACCCGCAATTTTGTAAATCGGATAATACCCGTAAAACCCGGGTATCTGGGTATCAAGAACACTAGTATAAAGCCATACTTATCGCGTTTTGTTGTGCCTTTTACTAAATTGAAATACCTATATACTAATATCTTAAAACAACGTTCAATTTATTTTGCATCATTATTTTTATTTTTTTTTTTTTTCGTTTTGTTGGATTATTGAATTGTGTTCAAAGTGTAATACATCTGCACCTCAATACACAGAAAAGGTCTTGCAAATTAATATTTTGTAAAAAGAAGAGATGAGTGTCGTTTTTCGAGAACATAGTCGCTCTTGGAAATTATTTTCAATAAAGTACACACTGAGGTGTGTGAGGTTCCTTGTCGTTTATTTGGTTGTTATTAGAGCTCTTAAAACACGTGTCACGGAATTCACGTGTATACGTGAAATACATGTTTATCCAAAATATATATCCATTTTTACTATGGTAAAATTAGTAATTTTATGTTATACACTTGAAGTTTTAATAAAATATTAATAGTACAGTAAAATAAGTACTGTAAAATAAATAATAAGTACTAAAATAAAAGTACTGTAAAATCCAAAATAAAAACGTATATCCTTTTTTTTTTTTTTTTTTTTTTTTTTAAAATATATAAAATTTACAATCTGTATAAAAAAAAAAATACAAATAAGCAAATATGTTAACAATATATGATGGACAAGAAACAGCGATTTGGGAACCTATCCAGTGATAGGACCCATGACGTGACTGCTAAACTAGCACATTTTCAGTCTAAAAGATCACGACACCAATGACGTTTGAGCCGACGGGGGGGGGAGGTTGTCCGGGATTGATACCGTGTGTTGATTTGCGATAAGTGGGTTGGGATGGAGAAATAATTTTGAGTGAAACTTTTTGTAGTAAGTTTTAACTAAATTATCAACTGCTTCTATGTTTAAATCTTTGTGGAGGGTATGATTGGAAATATACCAAGGAGCGGACGTGATTGTACGGAGAGAGATCGATTGGAAGGCTTCGATAGTTTTTAATTGTGATGGTTTGGCACAACCCCATATTTGTGCACCATATGACCAGATTGGACGTAGCATTGCTTTATATAAAATTAATTTATTATGAAGTGGAAGTTTAGATTTTAGTATGGGACGTAATAGGTGTAGTCTAGAATTGAGTGACTTTCTTTTGTTTTTAAGGTGAGGGCCCCAGGTTAAACGTTTGTCTAAAATAATACCAAGGTATTTTACTTGAGATGAGGAGGGAATAGGAATTTCATGGAGGGTGGGAGTGGGCAGATTTTTTTTATTTAGAGTGAAAGGAACATGAACAGATTTGGTGGCATTAATTTTAATTTTCCAATTAGAGGACCATTTATCTATAAGATCTAGGTGGTTTTGAAGGGCGTTGAATGCTACGGTTGGATTCTTATTGGATGATAGGATCGCTGTGTCGTCAGCGTAGGTAGCTATGATGGTGTCATTGGTTTGAGGGATGTCAGAAGAGAAAATATTGTAGAGATCAGGAGAGAGATCGCTTCCTTGAGGAACACCTGCTAGGATTGGAAAGACAGAAGAAAAAGAATTGCCTTGACGAACTTTAAAGGTTCTATTTTCAAGGTAAGAGCGAATTAGTAAGTAAAGTGGAGCAGGGAGGAATAGTTTCAGTTTATATAGTAAGCCATTGTGCCAAACCCTGTCAAAGGCTTGAGCCACATCTAGGAAGACTGCCGGGCAATAGTTTTTATTTTCGAAGGAGGAAGAAATTTTGTCGACTAGTCTGTGAACCTGTTGTATAGTGGAGTGGTGTGCTCGAAAACCAAACTGAGCGTCGGGAATAATTTTATGTGATTCAATTATTGGTCTAAGTCTTTTTAAAATAATCTTCTCGAATAGCTTTTACCAATCACTGGGAGTAGACTAATGGGTCTATATGAGGTTGCAATATTGGTTGGTTTTCCTGGTTTAAGTATGAGGATAACAATTGATAATTTCCAGATGGTAGGGAAATAAGACAATCTTAACATGGAATTAAATAAGAAAGTTAGCAAAAGGATTGTTTTTTTGGGGAGATATTTTAAAATCTTATTTGTTATTAAGTCATGACCTGGGGATTTGTTGGGCTTCAATCTTTGGATCAAGTTAGCAACTTCATATGGGGAGACATGTTTAATAGGGAGAGACATTGGTAGTGAAGCATCAAGAAAATCATTTATTTTGGCTAGTTGTGTGGTACTTGGAGTAATATCAAGGTGAGGTTTGAAAATATTCGAGAGGTGTTCCCCAAAAAGTTTGGCCTTATCTAAGTCTGAAAGAGCGAGAGATCCATCTGCTTTTTTAATAGGACAAGAGAATTCTTTTAATTTTAGCATGTTTTTAGTTGATTTCCACAATGTACCGTCTTGTGTGTTTAAAGATTTAAATTTTGTGACAAAAAGGTCATTTTTGTATTTTTGGATTAGTTTTTTAATGGTGTTAGATAGATTATTGAAAGCTAACTTGTCTGAAGGTAGTCTTGATCTTTGCCAACGGGAGCGAGCCCTGCGTTTTTCAGCAATTAAAATATTTATATTCGGAGGCAGGATAAAAGATTTGAGATTTGAGTGACATTTCTGATTGGAAGGATAAGAGCACTCATAGACAGCTGATTGAATTGATTTAACTAATTGATGAGCTGCGGATTCAATTTCATTGCATGTTTTAAGGGTTAGAATTTTCTAATTTTGATGAAAATTGTTTCCAGTTAATTGGACCTTTGGAAAGGGAGGGACGCGAAGGAGTTAGAGTTGGGAGCTCCATAATTTTTAGTAGAACGGGTGAATGATCAGAAGATATATATATATATATATATGGTCACATATGTTTTGAATAGTATGATTTATATGGTTGGGTATTGACGATATAAAAAAGTCCAGTAGGTCAGGTTGACGGTTCGAATGAGTAGGCCAGTAAGTAGGACCAGGGGGTGAAATAGTTGAAAAGCCGTTCATTTGAATGGAATTATAAAATAGGTATCCTCTACGATTTTCGACACGGCTGCCCCATAGGGAGTGCTTGGCATTAAAATCACCACCGGCGATGAAGTTACGCCCTAAGGAGTAAAAAAACTGATCTAAGTAGAGTTGAGATATTTGAGGTGAAGGAGGACAGTACACTGCAGAAACAGTAATAGGAGTATGATTTATTGAAATTGAAATGCTGGTTGCTTGGATAGAGGGGATTTGAAAACTCGGCAGAGGATGATGTTGGATTATGGAAGATATTAGAATTGCGGAACCCGCGTGAGACGTACCATCTGGATGGTTGGTTTTGTAAATATTAAAGCCGGGGAAAAAATGACTGGAATTAGTTGAATAGTGAATTTCGGTGATTAGAGCTATGTCGATTTGATTTACTATAAGAAAGTTAAGTAGTTCGGACTCATTCTGTTTGAGTCCGTTGGCATTCCAAAGAATGATTTTAAGAGTTTTATTATTGGTGAGATTATTTGTCATTATGTGAAATAAGTTTATTTATTACAGTGGTGAGTAATTGAATTAGTGGATTAATCAGTTGTTTGAACTCAGTTAAAAAAGATGAAAGTTGATTATTTGAGATACTATCAGTGGAATTAGATTGGGAATCAGTTTTACTTGAAGAGCTATGGCTTTGATGATTTTGGGTAAGGTTAGGAAAAATTTTGTTGTCATTCATGTTAGGAGGGGGGGGGATGGGTCGTTACACTGGATAGCGTTTCCTGCTTATTTATAATAGTGTTATTATTTACATGATTTTTTAAATTTGAATTTGATTTGAAGTTTGAACGCTGTAAGCTTTTATGGACTGAACATCCTCGGTAGTTTGCGGTATGGTTTCCTCTACATAAGGCGCAGGTTGGAGGAGTATCTTTTGATTGTGTACACTGTGTAGTGGGATGGAAATCAGCACAACGAACACATCTGGGAGGATGAGCGCAGTATCCTTTAGAGTGGCCATATTCTTGGCACTTGGAACACTGAACGATTTCACGTCTTTTATGTGGCTCTTCTACCTTTATTTTGATATGAAGCAGCGAGGTCAATTTGAAAATCTCATTATTGATTTGAGCGGGTTCAAGGTCAACAAAAAATATTGGGAGGGGACGTTTTGAAGATTTGTGGATAACATTTGAAACTTGGCGGACAGAATATCCGATATCTTCAATGGCAGCACCTACTTCGGAAGTTGAAGAAGACGGATGCAAGTTGCGTATGACTATACGAAAAGCTTTATCTTCACGGGCTTGATAAGTGTGATATTCGGCATTGCCTATTTTCAAGTATTTTATGACTTCTCTGTACGAGTCAGGGTTGGTAGTGTTAATTTTAAGGTTATTGACTGATGACTTAAAGCTGAAGGACTGTGGGCCGATCAGCTTTATTAATTGATTTCTTAATTCAATGAAATCAGAAACGTTTCGTACAAATATTGGTGGAGGTAACGGGATGTGGTTTGGTTGATCGACATTATTCGTTTCAATATTGTTTACATTATCATTATCATTGTCCGGTACTTGGAGGTGGTTAAATCTATTTGAACTGACAAAGACGGGTTTTGATTTCTTATTGTCGGGTGTTCCGGTTGGGCTGGTAGAAGAAAGATTACGTTTTGAATTATATGTGACTAATTTAAAATCTGGGTCATTAGGAATATCGTCCGTAAAGACATCATTTGAAGTATCCGATTCGAATTATTATTAGACAGATTTTGTTTTATTGTGTTCGTATGTTTAAATGGTAGTGTGAGAACTGCTCGATGACGGTCTATTAGTGCGGGTCATTATTAATGAGATAGGATAAGAACGACCGCCGGCTAGGCCGGGGAGTTCGAAGATAAGTATTACCTGCTATAATTAGATAACAGAGCGGTAAATGATTGAATTAATTAAAATTACCAAATTTTCACCGCTGATGGGTAAAAAACACTCTGTGACTTCCGAAGGACAGCAGATTTGGCATCAGCGTGACAGCATGAAACGATTGGTGTTAATTTCAAGATTATCGGACACTTTTCGGATGTCAGAAAAAAAAAAACACTGTGGAACGAGAGTGAGAGCACGTAACGCCACGGTGTACGACGAGCGAATGTATATCCTTATATACGTTTTTATTTTGGATTTTACACGTGACACGTGATACGTGAATTCCGTGAATTCACGTGTATTAAGAGATCTAGTTGTTATAGCAACAACCATACAAAAACTGCTCGTTTGGATCTTGTCAGGTCTACTGATGTTTCCATTTATTTTTTTTTTGCAAAAAAAAAGTAGACTATGTCTTTCTCCAAGGTCTAATATATCTTTATACCAAATTTCATCAAAATCGGTTCAATGGTTCCATAGTTCATTGGACACAAACCGTCGAACATGCCGAATAGTTTAGTATGACATAAGGAACATACAAACATTCATTTTTTTTATAGCTGAATTACCCAGTCTCCTCCAGGGGATATTTTATTATTTTAGATTAAAAAACTGACTCAAGTACCTAACATAAAATCAGTGACGGATCTACACACGGGGCAACACGGGGCAGCTGCCCCAGGGCGCCAGGTCTAAAAGGGCGCCTTATGAACCAATGGGTTGACTGTATTTTCGTTTATTTTAAGTTACTAAAAATAATTTTTTGAAAACATTTTTAAGAAAAAGTATCCATATAGGTCACAACTGCAGTCAAAAGTTTGGCGAGCTGTCGAGTTAAAGTTAAAATATTTTATGTTGTCTAGTGGAGTAGTGGGGGAGGGGGGGGCGCCAAAAAAACTGCCCCATGGCGAAAAAATGCGTAATCCGCCACTGCATAAAATGTTAGGTTGAAAAAAGCATAAAATATTTTTATATTCGAATGTTATTGATTCATTTATAAAAATTACATAAATCTTACAAAATCAACATATTAAATAAACCAAATATTTCCTAGGTAATCGAAAAATGAAAGTTTATACGTTCAGTGAAAAACTGTTTTGACTTTTCGAAAAATCCTCGGTGAAAGTATTAGAGGAACCACTATTCCAAATTTCAAGTGCGTATGTTTAGTAGTTTTTGAGATATGAGTCAATGAGTCAGTGGTATTTATAATATTTAAATTTTATATTTATAGATAATAATAGTTATATTATTTTGACACCAATTTGAAGTCTTTATCTTATTACAAATGTGAGTTATCGGCAATTGTGTATTACTTACTAATCATCAGGGCTCGTAAGTTCATGCTCTAAAAAATGCCTAAATAAGCATGCATTTATGCACTTAAAAATGGCAAAATATGCTATGAAATATGCATTTATATACACTAAATATCTAAAATTATCTACTTAAAAGAATCATAAATTATTATTGAAATAACATGAATTACCATTTCATTTTTTTTTATAGCTATATTTAATTTTTTTATGTCACAATTAAAAAAAAAAATTTAAATACTACTTAATACTGTTTTTGAGCTTTCATGAACTGCGTATAATGTACGCAAATACGTATATTTGTCAGTAATTCATTTTAAACCTGAAACTTTTGAAACAAATTTATTCATTAAATTTACGAATATCATGAAGATAAGAAAAGGAAAGATAAAACAATTTCTATTTTTAATTTTATATAAATATTTTCATTTAGATTTTTGATATATTCTAATAGGATATTGTATAATATGCCTGATAAAAATATGCATAAATATGCCAAACATACAAAAAAAGTCAAATATGCAAAAACATGCAAAATAAGATTTTACATATTTAACTGTGGTACCTTTAAATGGATTTCTGTCATCTAGCATTAAATACAAATTTATAAGATTGATATGTAAATGCATAAACATACGAGCCCTGCTTATCATTCACCCCTCGTATTTTTGAATTATATTCATTGGGTACCTAAACTAAAATGATGATGATTTTTTAATTTGAAATCAGTCGTTATTTACAAATATAATACTCCAGTCTAAGTTTTTATTTATTTATATATTAATTTATGAGTATTAACCATTAAGTAATTTTTTATTGTTCTATTAAACATTTATAGACAAAAATAATTCAAATGGTCCTCTTTACTAATTTCGCTTCATGGCATAGAAACATTGTCCCCGTAATTCCTCAACAACCAAGGTTCAAGAATCTCAACATTCCGAGGGACATAATTGTTGCATTCACCCACCTTCAAATTGAAAATAGCCATAAAAATAAAATATATTTAAAAATAAATAGGGTTATACCACTCCTGACTTAAATCTTCTCCTTAACACTTGCGCCACTCTAATTATGTCCTCAGTATTTAACTTCCTAAATTCTGCTGGCATTTATTTAAATATATTTTAAATTATTCATCAGTATATCTGTATATTTAATTTGTAATATAATTGCCGCAATATATCCAATAAAGGCAAAATAAAAATAGACAAAAATGTATTTTGTTCATCAGTTATACCAAAGTGAAAGTTTATTTATAAATTCAGTTAGTAAACTCAATTTGTATTTCTTTATTTTAAAATGTTGAGGTTTTCATTAAAAAATTAAATTTCACATGATAAATAAAAAAACGCTTATTTAAATTAAATATTAATATATTAATATAATATTTTTCTTTACTGATTTTTAATCTAAAATATAACATAATAATAAAACTAAAAATAAAAAAATTGTACTGATTATGTAAGCTAATTAATGAATACATTTTGAAGTTTATTGAGTTTACTTAAATAATTACTGTTATATTTACTAAGATTTAGGAGAGAGGAATTCTTATAATAATTTAACCTTGAATAATTTGTTTTATTCGATTCATTTTGGTTTCATTACTTAAAATATTATTGACAGTCTGAAATTTATAAATATTTAAATAAATTAAAATGTAACAATTTTGTTTGAAATATAAAGTATAATAAAAATAATAATATAATTATTATAAAAATATTAAATATTATTAATAAAATTTAATCTATTCTATGGCTAATCAGTCGTTTAAAAAATATTTGTACTAATAAAATACCTATCAATTAAAAAGTTATATATATTATATTATCTAGTTAAATTTTAAATTACCCGAGAATTATTATTTGAACATAAAATATCATCTGATGAACTTGTCCAAGAGGTAACAGAACTTATAGTTTCCATAGCAGATCGATTATCATTTTTATTTAAACCATTTTTCAGATACGATTCAGAAAACTTATTCTTTAAAGAAGTGTTATTGTGTTTTGGTGAAGAATCCTCCGTAAGATCCACGTATTCATAATGTTTTTCATTTACTGTTATAGGATTTTCATATTTTCTTGAATTTACATAATTATTTTCAACTTGAAGACTTCCAATCATTTCATTTCTTATAACATAAAATTATTTTTTATATTATATATATTAATTTAGTTAAATATGGTATTTAGATATAATATTAACACTAGCTATATATAGTAAACTTACATTAAATTTATATTTGATTTTTCCATGTTTCTTTCTTTGGGTTTATTAATTTTACTTTCTTTAATTGGTTGAGATCCATAGTTGACATTGATTTGAGGATAAATATTGTTAATTAGACTAAATATAATCTAAAAATAATACCTTTGATGATTTTATAATTCTATAATAGAAGTGAAAGATGAATATATAACCAATTCAATTTACTTTAATTTTTCCTTGGTGTTTTTCAGTTTCACTAATAACATCATACATTCCACTAGCTTGATTAAAGTTGTATTCAAGTGCACTTAAATCTACAAATATAAATCCAAGTCTTATGTCTCGTTTTGCATCATGTCCAGCATATTCATTTCTATATGTTTTACACCATAACTCTAATATTAGCCATTTTCCCTATAAAAAAATTATAATTATAAATATAAATATTCAAAGATTTACAAATGTTGCTATTGTCATCAAACAAATGATTCTATACAGACTTCAAATTGGCCAAGGACAGGATTAATGCTTAATACAGAGGGAACACCAAGAAAAACACCATAATGTGTGTGTGGTCTATGGTATTATATAGAAAAGTATAACAGTTAAAATTAAGAAGTCACCACACATATACTTATGTGTTGTCTCAGTCTGATAATATAGAAAATCTGCGTTCAATGGAACCAATTTTATATTTTTAGCTTTAATATTAGTGAAAACTGACCAATCATCACACAGATAAAAATAAATTAATACAAATAAATTCCCTCTTTTAAATTTAAACTAGGTCAGTTAACTTTAATTTTCTAACATTTAATATTTTAATATATTTAACATAAATTGATTCTACTGAACAAAGATTTGCTTTGCTGTACATTTCTTAAATAGAGACAATACACATAGTAGTGATGCCTACCTAAAAATATACATGTGCAAAAATGCTTTAAGAATCATAAAAATTGCATTGTAAAAATGTGTAAAAAAATGTATTATAATTTAAAAATTTATACTACTACACATATTTAATTACCTTTTTATGGACCTACGTGTTGGAACATCGAAAACAATAAGATGCATTTACATCAAAATCCCAGTCTTAATTATTAGTAATAATATTAATACTTCAATTTTAACAAATCTGATGTGTTGCTCAAAGAAAGTAAATGCTAGATAGTATATATATATATATATACTAGCTGACCCGACAGACTTCGTCCTGTCAAAAAGATTTGTAATGTGGCAGTTTTTGTGATGAGATTATTTTTATCGATAAACTTACGTTGAGTAGTTAATAATTTTTGAGATACAGCGATCAGTGAGTCAGTGGTATTTGGATTATATGTATAGATAACTAATTATTGACTAACATTATCGGACTTTATTTATGCCTATTACCGTGATATCCTCTTTCATTTAAAAAAAACTGTATGAGAATTGGATAAGAAGTTGCGAAGCCAATATAAATAAAAAAGGTATAATATAAGAAAATAGTATTTTTTTCATTCTCATTTTTTTTATATATAATAGTTGAATACCTCCTGGGTGAAGCCGGGTAAACCAGCTAGTTTAATATGAACTTTATACCATAGCAATAAAGCTCAAATTGACTACGTTTTAGTTACAAATCATTTGTATTAGAAAAAGAAAAGGGCTATTTTTAGGGTTTTTCCAGCAATAATTCTAATTTTTCTCGCCGTAAAAACCATCCTTGAACTTCAACGAACATTTGAAAAAAAGATTTGGCCAAATTGGTCCAGGCGTTGTTGAGTTGTGCGCTTACCAACACATTTTGCGATTCATTTTTATATTATAGATATATATATATATATACAATAAAAAATAACCAATAACCAAACTATAGCAGTTAACATATAGGCAGAAATATGAAGTAATCTAAAGATACAGTGAAATCTCTCTTTACAGATACCTCTAAATAACAAACACATTTTTCGGTCCTGGCACATATCTACTGAAATTATTGGATTGAGCTACACTAAATAGCAGACACTTCTTAATAATGGAGGGTGACAGATTTATGTGGTCCGATATATTTCAATATCTCTAAATAAAGGACATATATTCTGAGAAAAAACATACTTGTATTGTATATACATATGTACTGTATTTTTATATTTCCGATTAAAACATTTAAATGTTGTGAGATAAAGATCTAAAGTCTAAAGATAATTATCTTAATGATTTAATGAATACGATTAGGTACCTACTCTTATATACAATATGTAACATCCAAAAAAGCATTGCAGTTAAAACGGCTCAAAAACATTTTTTCTTAACACAGGTGATGAAGCTTAACTGTCATTGGTTAATCAACTCCAGTCAAATTTTGAGCAAATTGTTATACAAGAAAACAAACCAACTACAATTTCAGATTTCTTTTACCGTTGCAATATATGTACAAAATGTTTTATATATATATGCATTAATAATTAATAATTGTAATATGTAATAATAATATATTTAATAATACATATACATCTTAAATTTTTTTAAAAAGTCAATAAAAATTAAATTTATAATTTTATTCATTTTTCTCAATAGCGGAAATTTTTATTGATCCCATGAATGTCTACTTTTTAAAGGTTTTACTGTATACAGCAGAGGTGGCTAATAGGTTGAATAAAAAATAATAAATTATTAAAATACAATAAAAAATAAGGAAAACGTGTTGTGTATAATTGTAAAATTAAAGTTATTATTACTTAATAACTTATTAATATTTTAAATAAAAGAAATGAATAAAGTATAACATGCATGTAAATAATATATTTTTTTGCTTATTTTCAACCATTTTTTTTTTTTTTTGGTCTATCACAACAACCTGGAAAACTCTGATGTTGATTACAAATCTCTAAAAATTGGCCACCCCTGCTATATTGTATATAAATTCAAAACTTTAAATGGATATAATATTTGAGTATATGTCAAGGAAAAGAATAATACCTAAGTTTAAATTTTTTATAATTAAGAAAAAATGTTAATAATTGTATTTGAAACATTATTCAGTGTGAAATTCTGCTGAATAGCAATAATAGTAATAACTATAAAGTATTTTTAAAAACCATTAACATTCTATTTAGCATAATAATTATTTATCAGATATAAATATGTCTTTACCTCTATTAATTTATTTTTCGGAAGTATGAGAGTCCATTCACTGTTCCATACAGGATTTACTTTTTGAACAACAGATGACGTTGATAAATTACTTCCTAAGAAGTTATCTAAAATTACATATGAAGTTGGAGCTGATGGTGTGGTATCGCCATTTAATGTAATCATAGGTAAATTATAACCACCAACAATTATCACTTTTGCTTTAAAAATATCATTGTCATCAAATATGTCACTACTAGTATTCATATTACATTTTTTACTTTTTGTATTAATTTGATTTGGCTGATTTTCTATCATAACACTTGAGCTTAGATGTGCTATATTTTCTGATTTATTTTCAGTTAAATTACAACTGTCATAAGTAATTGTAGGTTGTTCCTTTATATCTTTTTTAGTTTGAATTTTATAATCATAACATATTTTAACAGATAATGGATCAGTTTGAGTACTGTTTTCAGCAGTTGCATTATCAAATTTATCATTACGTTTGAATAATGTATAAGTTTTGTTTATAGAGGTCTCATCAGAATCTGATTCAGTTAAATCAACAATAATTTTTGAATTTTTTTTTATAGACTTGTGTGGACTAAATGACTTTCTAAGTTGTTTATCAGGAGATGGAAATGAATGATATACTCTTTTGTAATGTATTTTAATACATATATCATGTCGTGATTCATGCATAGATGAATTATTATTTAAAATTAAACTTTTAGTTATATGTGAAGTTTTAAATTTATCTCCCATCTCAATCAAATGTGAAACTAGTAGTGAAATCTAAAATAAATACAAAAATAATTAATTAAGATACAATGTTTTATATTTATTTTTTTTTAATTTATTATACTTTTTCTGGTAAATAATTATTATTTTGATGAAGATTTAACACAATAGCTGATCTTGTATAATTATTGTAAAAATAAGATTCTAAAGAAACTGTAGTAGGTAATGTTATTAAATGTAAAATATTAGTGTTGCCATAAGTTCTAAGCATTCGATGACATGTTATCACTAAAACAAACAAATATTTGTTAATAACTAAAATATATTTTACAGTTAGTGCTTTTACCTTTCCCTGTATTAGTAGTAACACATTCCGGAAATTGATATGTGACATAATTGAAAGTTGAGTTACATTTTTTTTCAATATAAAATGTAAACTCATGAGTGCATCGAAATATGTTTTGTACATCACAACAAATAGTTTTATCCAAAGGATCTTCTAATTCATCACTGTTTACTTGTACTGAAACATTGGACATTTTGACTAAGGTTTGTATTGATTTGTTAAATTGACGGACTTTGAAATTAGTTTGAGTTTCTTTTTCTTTTGTTGCCTTAGTTGGTTTTACTTTACTTGGCCACTCATCCAAAAATAATTGAGTTTCTTTTTCTTTCATTATCTTAGTTTGTTTTTCATTTGGCAGCCACTCATCCAAATTTAAATTACTTTTAACGATGTTTTCAAAATCTTCTGCATTTTTTTTAACTATATTAACTGACTTCGAAATATTGGCAGTTTTAAGTTCACATTGTTGTTTTTCAGAATATTCTATATCCATTATATTATCCACATTTCTTATAGGAAAATGATCTTCATATTTTTGGAATATTAGTGATTTTGAAAAAGCATATGATAAAGATAAATGTCCAATTATTTTATCATTATTCCAAATAGGAACTTTAATAAATCTAAAATCATCAAAATCAGTTGAAAATCCATTCCAATCTAACATTTGTTTTGTTTCACCAAGAATGATAGGACTGCGCATACTGAGGGATCGTATACATGTTCTAATAGTGATGCCATTAACTGTGCCACCTTCCAAACGAGATGACAGAATCAAGGCTTTAAATTTTACAACTAAAATTTAAAAAAATATAGCGTTATTCATATATTTTTGAAATATTTTTACTCTTTTATACATACATACATACATACATACATATATATATATATATATATATATATAAAGTATAATATAAAAAAATAACTATTAGTTTTGACCAATCATTATCAGATTACTTGCAATAATACAAAAATAATAAAAGCAATAAAGACATTTATATACTATCATAGTTTTAATTGAATTTATTTTTGAATATTTTTTTAAGTAATTTGAAGATGACTGGTAGGTCAAAACTAGAAGCACTCATTTTATAGTATAACTATTTTAATACATACCATTATCATCCATATGTCTAGACATAAATCTCAATAATTTATACGGTTCTTGGTCCTTAAGACACTGAACAATATATGTGCTATTTATATCTAAAACCAAAAATCTCACTATTTAGATAAATTTTTCATATTAGTTTATTGTATTTTTATTTTTAATTTAAAGTTATATCCAATTTAACTTTAATAATTTAATTTTTTAAATTTTGTAAATCATCTCCCAAGAAATCAAGTTTAATATTTATAATTTCAATTATATACATTAAATAATAGAATAAACACTCACAGTTTTGAAGTGATTTGATTGTACGATAAACATTTATCGAAAAAACTGATAAATGTAAATACACATCATCATTTGGAACTGGCACTAAATAAAAGAAAAAAATATCAATAATATATACTACACGTAGATCATAATAACAAACAATTCAAATATAACACTTTATTTTTAGAAATTTCAATATATTAAAAACGTAAGTGTATTCCTAGTATAGTTTATACAAAACAATTAAAAGACCATCCAACTCAAAACATTTTCTTAGGCTTAAATTACATACTATGACGAAAAAAATTATACCAATAAAATTCGTTTGTGACTGTCTGCTAGTTGTCTGCACGCATTTGCGCGTGACGTCACATATTATATCATAATACACAGTAATGTTTATCCGTTTTTGGTTTAACGTAAAGTAAACGGTAATGATCTTATATTTTTTCGAATAACTTAACCAAATGTATTTAAGAGTACCTCATAATCTCTCTATTCGTATAATTATATTGCATTTTGGTTTAATATTATTAAAATAATAACTACTATAATAATACACCATTGTCATATGGTGTCAATTGTCATTACTAGAGCTCGGATTTATAAACATTTAAAAAATGTCAATTATACAAATATACAAAGGAAAAGTGCCTAAATGTTAAATTATATGCATTGTTATAGTTTAAGAAATGTGTGTTTTTTTAAAAAAAAACTACACTTTTATACCAAATAAAATTCTAAATATTTTATCAAAAACAAAAAAAAAAAAAATGATTATATCCACTGCTTTATATTTTAAATAATTTAAATTAATCTAAAACTTTTAGGAAACTTAAAAACGAGGATAAAAATAAAAAAATAAATAAAAAAAATTAAATAAATATTTTAGATCATTTGAAGTTACCTACTCTCAAAAACCGAATAGAAAACTTAAAAAAAATACTAACATTTTTAATTTATTAAAAACCCATTAAATATGCATGTTATATGCATTTATGAACAAATATGCAATAACCCTCGAAATATGCAAGATATATAATATAAAATTTGGTGTTAAATTTGATGTGATATGAATCGTGGACGTTTTAAACCTCCATAGACGTACATACACTTAATACAAACATACAAATGCATATAAATCCGGGCTCTAGTCATAACTCATATGAGTACTGCTATGATTTTATTTATAATTTTATCGATTTTTATTTTTCATAACAATATAGTCTTATTGTTGTATGAAGTTACAAATATCGTTATGATTATAATAATAATAATATCCTTTATTTCGTATTAATGTTTAGTACCTAGTAACTAGTAAGTACAGTGTCAGTATGAAATGTGAAAGTGGTCCTTTCTATTATTTATTGTACTATAATTGTAATGCACAATTTAGTTACACAATATAATATTATAATATATATTATATATTTTTTAATGACCCTTCAACCACATAATTAATTAGCCAATTTAGGTGTAAAAAATCTGTACACAATTTCACGATCGTCAAAACAATGTTATACACGTTAATGTATCTAAGTGTTATTTTAGTCTACAAGATTAAACCAAAATGTGATATAATTATACGAATGGAACATGGGCGCAACTAAAGCCCAAATATTGGGGGTGCTGAAATTGCTGAAAGTAAAATTAAATGGTACTTAACTGTAATTACTATAGATTATATAGATCTGAAAAAATAGGAGTGCTACATTTAAACTTAGGGGTGATAAAAATCCTATTGTGCTCCCCAAGTTGCCCCTATGGAATGGAAAAATTATGAGGTACTCCTAAATACATTTGATTAGTTCATTCGAAAAAAAATAAATTCATTAGCAGTTATTTTATGTTAAAACAGAAATGGATAAATATTGTAATATATTGTATAAATAATAAATAAATATAAATATAAATAATTTTGTTTAAATTTTATATATGACCGCCGCCTCGACAAACGAATCTGTGACGTCATGTGCAATGTTAAAAATCACCGTAACTAGCGAACGAATAGTCACAAACGAAATTTAGTTGTATTATTATTAACTTAGTTAGACTCTATTCTATTTATCATGGTAATAAAATAATTATTGATTTTTTGCGTTGGATGGTCCTTTAAGAAAAAATAATCTATATATTTATAATATACATACTTAAGAATGTAAAAAAAAAAAATAATACAGAATTTTATAATGCAGATATTCAACACTTAATATGTAAATTAAATTATTAATACAATTATTAATTAAACTGTAAAAAAAAAATAAAAATAATGAAAAAAATAGCAGATTAAATGTTATACATGGGATAATACAATAGCCAAAAATGGTAAATCTTATGCTACTTTAGGTGTTATTGAGGTTATTCTCAATTCTAACATTTTCCTTGTAATACCTGGTTAATTTACAAATTGTATTTATCTTTTTAGTTTTATATTATTCTATTTCATTTGTTTATAAAATTTTATTTATGAAAGGATTATAATAACTATTATTATTATTGTTTAAGTGATTATTGCATATTATACCAGCTAAAGACACAATAGTGTAATAAGCTGCTGGTTGATAGTTAAAAGAAATGTATTTATAATAATATAAAACTCAGATATTGGAAACCTTTTTGTAATGATTTAAAGTAGTCCGTTTTGAGTTCACATTTATTCAATTCTGAGCAAGGTTTCTTTAAGTTTGGTTGATTTCCTTTCATGTTCTTAATATTAGGCCTTGTATTATTCATTGTTTTGGCATTTCCCTATAAGAACATAATAACAAAATTTTTTTAATATTATAGCACTGAAATTAAATTTAGAATTTACAAATGGTAAAAGAACATTTCGCCCCCATAAAAAAAACAAATCCACGGACGTTTCGTTTCTGTCTATTATTAAGATAGAACATTTGATCCCCAGGAGTTATATAGATTTATTTATACATACCCATAGGACATTTGGCCCCTAGAATTTTAAATTACTAAATTTAAATTGTTTTTTCTATTTAACTTAAAATTTAAATTATTTTAAAACGCACAATTGCACAATAAATTTAAATCCAAAATAATCGTATATTGCATTAGATATACACGCCATAATTGGTGAATGGTTACAAGCACGCACCAATAAAAAAAAACAATTATAATGATAATAATAATAATTCAGTAACAATTATACTAAGTAAACATAAATTATAATTAAAATAAATCTATATAACTCCTGGGGACCAAATGTTCTATTTTAATAATAGACGGGGACGAAATTGTGGGGTGAAATGTCCGCGATTCTTTATAAATATATCAGGAAATTAAAGGACTTTAAAACAAGTAATGACTTTCTGATTTTCATAATGTTAAAGAGCATCTCAAATTTCATCAGAATCAAAAAAAAGTAAAAACATGATTTTTGACACTTATGGCCATTTTTTATAAACCTGGTTTACAATGAATTACAATCATTACAATGATTTATAAATGACTTACTTGAATATGTAATGGTGAATAAATACTGATCTTTTCAGCTGCACTAACAACACTTTCAGCAGAAGGCATTATTCTTAAAGTATTAAGCGCTTCTTCTTCTTCTTCAGGAGCCATATCCTTACCTAAATATAACTAGATTGTAAATATAAATTTGTAAATAAAACAATTAAAAGAAAAACAATAACTTACCCATTAAATAATCACTGGTTAATTCTTCTTTACTTTTATTAGTCTGTAATGATAAAGAGCTAATAGGTCTTATACTATTTGTTGGTTTGAAAAATTCTGAGTAGTAAAATTCTTTGTCATCTTTAGGATTTAAAATTTCACCAAAATACCATTTTTTTTCAAAGATTTTATATCATTTTCAATTGATGTGTCATTCAATGATTTTAAATCAAAGCATAACTTTAAAGTACCAACTGTTTTTTCATTAATAGTGAGTGGTAAAATTTTGACTAAATGGTTATCTGGAGATATTGAAATTTTTTTCAAAGTTGTGTAAGCAAATGATTTATTTTCATTAGTTTTAACTGAACATTTTAACGAACATGTTGATAAATACTTTATAAATAATTTATAGCTAGCTCGAATATCATAAGATATTTTAGAATATTTAGATGTTCTGAAATTTAAATAAATACTTAGTTAATTATTTAACATAACTAATGAAATAATACAATCTTTTAAACTTACAAAATTTTGTGCTTTTCATGACTTCCTGTCCATTCAAATTGTACAAAGGTACTTTTTACATCATTTTTGAACCATGAAATATCTGATATGGATATTGTTAAAATCCCATTAATTTTTCCATTAAAATGAGGAGGTAAACTTGGCATGATAAAAAAATGTTTTACTTTTGATCTATAACTAATATTTATAATTTTTTTAATTAAAAGTATATAGTATATAGTTTTAATTTATTATTGCTATACATGAAATATTATTATTTCCCCTATGGAATGATATCTGAATACTTCCATGGTTCCTCAATTTCTAAACTATTAAATAAAATAAAATAATTGATGGTTATAATAATGATTCAAGAACACTAATTACAATTATATTAATTACTTAAAAAAATTGTTAAATAAAATGTTTGAAGAGTTGGTAGATTTTTGGATAACTGGCTTGGGAAAAATTAAAAATGGATTATGATATACGTTGACGTAAAGCCGAATTGGACAGTTGCCTCAAATAAATGTTTAAAACTCTGTAAAAGAAAACAGTTTTAAAAATTTACCAAAAACTGAGTAATTCGTAGAATAATTATCGTCGTATGAGAATTCAATTCTTGTTATTATTAACTCGCGAATACTGTCAGTGAAATATCCTAAAAACATCGAACAAGAAACACCGTAAACATTTGTAGTTGTCACAACTATAATTATTTATTAACCGAATTCGTTAAACGAAAAATATTCAAAATAAAACATAAGATAAGAAACGACTATTTTATCGGTTTATTTCGGATACTAAAGTACGTAGTGACTCAATGACGTTTGGGACTTATTACACCCGTAGCTCTTTTATAATAATATCATATATTCAGTGATGGAGGGTATAATGGCGTATACCCAATACGCTATTTTTATCTATGGCGTATAGTTTATAAAAAATTGATGATACGCGGGTGTACGACCGTATATAGCGTATAGCTTGTAATTTGAAAAATAACTACATAATACCTTGACTAACCTTACTTGTGGTTATATTTATGACTTGATTCGGTATCGGATATATTATTATTTTTCTTTTTTTTTTTTTAATGAAAAATTCAAATTTGTTATCATTTAACAAGTTTTTGTTATCAAACAGTCATAATTAAGGATGTGTTGTTCATGAACGAGTTTTTTTGGTTCCTACCATGATTAAAGATATAATAGATATAAGAAATTAAAAATATTAAAGATATTATAGATTTATAATCGTGATTCCTACCATATGATAGTTACTACATGAAATAAGGCGTATACCCATGATTTATTTTAGCAATACATCACTGCATATATTATATTTATAATAATAAATTACATAATATGATATTATAATAATAATATATTATGTCTACGTGCAGACTGGTTACAGGTGGGTGATGTAGTTTATAGTAGAAAATAATATTTATCTACGGGTGTAGTCATGCGGTATGTGGTGATAACGCTATATGATTTATTTGTTTATTGTGCCTCGTTAAATTTTAAATTATTGTTGAATGTAATCCACTGTTCTACATCATGCTCTCAACATTAAACTAATTACTAATATATTAATAATAGTACAATAAATTAACAATAAAAACTAAAATAGCCTAATGCAACCCACGGTAGTGTTTTAATCTTTCTAGCTGCAAGGACCAAAATTAAAAAGAGATTCTTCGTCCATTATCTAAGAACGTTGTAATCAGTAGTATCGGTGAAATTCACTACTGTTATCATCCGGCACGTCGGCCATGCGAACCACGAGGACGAGAAATGAGGATAATGAATTAGTGTATTATCATCCGATAAACATTTCGCTGTTTCCCATTGACCACTAATTAAGTCGTCTGACTGTGGTCAAAATCGCAACACTTCCGTGCCATCCCGTATCGTTCCCCAATCATTCCGTTTAGCACCTATCCTGCGGTATGTTTTAGAAAGAACCTTTCATACGTTTATCGTTGCTATTGTCTTCGTATATATATACTAATCTATGGTCAATCCGGTCCAGGTGCCTGTTCGTTGTTTCCATTTACGTAAGTCTACGTAAACAACTTATTTTCGTCATGTCTGTATTTATGTTGAACGAGGACACGAATTTCGAACATGTTATTGGCGTGCTATTTAATAACTGGACTGCTCTCAAAGTTAGTATTAATCTTTTGTTTTCCTTATCACATATTGAGCATCTCTTTCATACATATTTCCTTTTAGTTAGCCGTTGAACATGGTATGGGTGGTTCGTCCGAAGTGATGCAGTTTAAAATAAGTGACTTAATACAGAATATTCACGAATGCCTCCACAAATCTGGTTAGTGTATTTTCATTTATACAGAAACTAAAATAATGGATATCATTTTTATTTTATTTTAAATGTATATATCCTTAATGTTTAATATATTTGTGTAGAAAAGTATTAATAATAGACAATTAAATGAAAATTAATTTTAATCTTTATTGCTAACCCATCTTAAAGTGTAATAAGTACTGACATTTATATTTTATAACTGATCACATTGTTTAAAATAAATTATATTAATTAATTATTAAAATAAATGAAAACAATTAATTTTATAATTATTTAGGTGATAATATGTGTTGGACAATTATATCAGATATTATTGAAGATGTTATGGATGTTGGATTTGATGTTGTACTTGAAGATGCTTCTGCTGATGACTTAAGTAAACATATATGTAAGCTTTATTGTGATTGGAATCAGTCAGTAGAAGGCCGAAAAAAAGTCATTGATGAACTTAAAAATTTACCTGTATTAATTCCAATACAAGTTGTTCCAGTTAGACCTATACGTGAAAAACAAAAAGTAATTTTTCATTTATTGTTATTAGTATTAATTTAAGTCCCTGTTAAGTTAAATATAATATATAGTTATAAATCTTTATAATATTTAAATTATTATAATTGATGTATCGTGTGCATGTTAATCGCAGTCACCGTCTAGTTTCAATACCACCAGATATTGCAAGCTTTCAGATTGATGACCATCTAGTTTTTTAGCAATAAATCTATAATATATCCTTAAATTACATATTTAAAAAAAAAAACACTGATGTTTTCCTACTACAAACTTAACAATACCACTCTCAGTCAATGGTCAAATTGCTATGGCTTAAATCAATATTTATAATCAAAATATATATATATATATATATATATATATATAAATATTTTATTTATCATAACTTAAATTGATAGCATTTTTTAAATTATGGGTAGTTTGATTCATTATTAAAATGATTGTACATTGTATTCATTCATTTTTATATGTAATTTTTAGATGGATAATTCATCTAGTGAAGAGTCTGAACCTTCCTGTGATGATGGATGGACAGTGGTAAAACACAAATAAAACTTCTGTTAACCTTTTTTACTTTTTAAGTTTGTAAAACAATTTATCAATTTATCCAATAGTTAATCATCCTAGTTTTGTTGTGCTATATGTTGTCTTTTGAAACATTTTAACCAAAACAGATATCATAAAAAATTAAAAATTATATATATTAATAATTTTTGTAGATTTACTTTGCTTTATATATATTTTAATATTACTACAACATTAAGTGATTTAAGTATTTTATTGTTATGGACTATATGTAACATTTTAATTCAGTTTTTTACTTTCTCTAAAATAAAAGACAGAAAATCTTATTTAAATTAATTTTTTCAAATTTTAAAGCATACTAAATTAATTTGTGTTACTTAAGTTGATACTTGGATAGGTAAGATAAATAATCATTTTTATATCAATCAAATCTGTTGGTTTCAATAATTTATAATTAGTAAAATTGTTTTGTTTAAAAGTTTAAATCATTATTTAAGAAAATGTCTACTCATTAGTTTTGTCATACACAGCAAATTTATTTATTATCAAATTTAAGATAAACTTATCTGTGTATATAAACAATCATGTATTTTCTCAAAATGTTGAATTATACTATCTGTTTCAATTAAAATAATTTAAGCAGTTCTCAATTTATTTTTATCCTATACCTTGTAAATTCAAAAATAACTTCCTGGTGCCGGAATTGTTGGTTATTTTCGTAGGTATAAGTATCTAATGTCCATTAAAATGAACAAATTTTTCCACCCTATTAACGCCTGACCAGTTTTTAAGATTTGTAATCATATGTGCCGGATGTCCATTCTAATAGATTTTTATTTTTAGTTTTATTTTATTTTTGTTATTTACATTGTAATATTTATTTGTAGTAAACTTATATTAATAATTTTTTTACAACATTTTGTTTATTAATTAAGTAATTTTATTGTCTTGGTTAAAATAATTATATATTTATTTGCTTCATATATATACTAACAATTTTTCCACTTAAACAAACTATAGTATTTATATAAATATTTTAGACAAGAAAGTTTAATTTTTAATTTATATACTCATTAATGTGTATTCTTTTTAAATTTGAAAATAATAAATTATATTTTAATAGTTATATTGTTTCAAACAGTGGTGTAGTTAGAAACTTATTTTTTTTTGGGGGGGGGGGTCACACCTAATAGTGAAATAATTTTATAAATTAGTATAAAATGTTCTTTATAAACTTATTGCTTAAATACTAAATAATAATAATAATAATAATAATAATTAATAACTAAATTAAATGTATGATCATATTAATCATATTTTATATTACTTTATGTTGCGCTTAGATGCATAGTACATACTGACAACTAATAAGACGTGACAGTCACAGACCAAGATATTAATATTCTTTTCGACTTATAATTTCCCTACATCAAATTATTTATATACCATGTGTGTGTGAGTGACATGCGGTCAATTGTTATTATTAATATCCGATTACAATTTAATTATTGGCGATATAAATATTTTTTTTTTTATACCCATTTTTTTTCATTATACTTAAATACTTTGTTGAATAAACAAACTAAAATGTTCAAAATTTGACGTTTTCAATTTTTTTTTTTTTTTTTTAGGGGGGATGGAAACCCCCCAGCCAACCAAATAATACACCACTGGTTTCAAACAATGTCCATTGGAATGGACATTCGGCTTTTATGATTACAATATTTTTTCGGCAATGATAAATTAAAATATATTTACTTCTGGGAATGCCTATTGTGGCTAATTTTAATTTATATTCCATGTCCAATACAAGTTAATTTTGTAGTAAGCATAATATGATATTATTTTAGTTAGTATTTTTCATGTTAGCCACGGTACTGCTCCTTCGTTAGCAAAGTAATCCTTGAAAATGTCTCTTACCACAAGTCCTGAACTCAAAAAACCTTTTTCATGTTGCCTTAAGGATTTGATTGTTGAAAAACTTACGTGTATACTAGATAAAGGTTGCAAGCACTATGATAGAATTTCAGTAAACGCAATTCGATAGAAAAAACGAAAACGACTGGTTTTAGACAAAACGGTGTAATGAGAAGTCGATTTCCGGCTTTACATTATTGTTAAATATATTTATTATAATATATTATTAAATATATATTTCGCTATGATAAAAATGTTTTTATCACAGTTTATGATAAATTTTTACCTTTATAATACTTATTTATAACACGGTTAAAGGGGGGTGTTATTACACCTGTAACACCCCCCTGGCTACGTGCCTAAATAAATCAGGTTTTTTGATACGTGAGCAGGCCACACACAGTTATTCATGTGAGAAGCATGCATTTTCAAAATTTAGTTCACACACTTGTTTTAAGTGTCTTTGTAATTTGTTGAAGATCATTGCAAAAGCGTGTCGCACTGGAAACTGCAAAAGTTTGAATTCCAATGGCTAATCTGTTGGAGTCATTGGGATGCATGATAATAGTACATGATAACTATTGTGACTATTACTATAGTTATTAACAGTAATTTGTTGTTATTAAATTAAACTTTGATTATAATTAAAGAACAGATAAAATAAAAACTTTGGACCCCCCCCCTAAAAAATTACTGGGTACGCCCCTGTATAAAAAACTAATTATCATTTACAACGCACACCAGAAACTAATAAAGTTGCCTATACTAAATCCCTTAAAAATAGTTCGTTTGCAATGCTCCTAACCTAATATTCAAAGTCTGAATTTCAGACACCTATAACACTTTATTATTTTTTAAAAGCTATAGAAATCTAAATTTAAGATTTGTATACTCAACTTTTCAACTTTAGTAAATTAACTGCAAAATACTAAATTCGAAATAAATATAATGTACCTTTGAAATGTTTTTAATTTTTGGTTATTTAAAACATGGGTGTTGTGAAATAATATTATTTAATTCAAATTTCCGTTTCTATTATTTAAACCACCTAATACTACGTAATACTACCTGACGAAAACATGTAAACTCTTCCGGGTATAGTTGGACAGTTTTTAAGAGAAAGGGTTTATGTCAATTTTTACTGTAGCCAATTCATAGTGAAACAATAATATTTAAAACAATTCAGGAGAGTTTTCATAACCATGATGTTGACTCGGGAGAGCTTACACATTTTCTTCAGGTAAACATAATACTGATCAGGGAGAGTATTACACATGTGTATTACCACCGCTCGAAAAGTGATAAGTGACGTATAGTGATGTAAGTCGGTAATATTACTTTGGTAAAATATTATAAAGTAGGTAATTGATAAAGTATAAGTAAAGATATAAGTAGGTAATTATCGATAAAGTAATAAATATAAATTACTTTATCACTTTACGAGTATAACTAGGGGGGCCCTAGGGGCCGTGGCCCCTTTCCAAGCCCGTACTGTATTTTTAAAAAAATGTATATTTTTAACAAAAAATACATGTTACAATATTTACTATCATACGACACGCACAAGTATGTAGATAGAGCAATAGAGGTATGACGGTTGAAAGGAGTTTCTCTACACTTCAAAGACTAAAAACCCGGCTTCGTTCAATGATGACTGAAGATAGACTATCAGCATTATGTCTAATTATTGTGTATCATAAAGAAGATATTCTAGATCAAATACATCATGTCGCCGCCATAATAAAAATAGAATTACAATTATAATATAATATACCTTCGGTCACGAAACCACAGCCTATCGACACACACGCACACATACACAAACACTCGCGTACATTAGCCGCTATTTTTGTATTTATCTTTGTTTTAATTATGTTTTGTGAATTATATAATATGATAATGAGCTAGCGGCGCGTTATCTGCGTCGCCGGTGCGAGTAAATTTTAACACGGCCGCCGCAACTTTTGTCGCTCTCTGTACGTCGTCGTAATAGACTGTAGCGTTTAAAAAAAATAAATTTTATATTTTGTGGACGCAAATCGTCGTCAATTTCATTTTTTAATTTATTTCATACACATTTACGTGTGCGCGAATCGCCACTAAATGTTGTGAAATTTATTATATTATTATACGTGCACTAATCGCTGTAAATTTTATATTAATTATTATTGTGTGTGCGCTAATCGCCACTATTTTTATTATTATTGTATTTTAAAGTATAGTTTTTAGGTAGCGGCTGGCCAGTCTGCTCTCCACAAATTGTGAGTTTTTATTATTATTTATTTATTATACATTTAAATCTTGTGAGCCATAAGGGCCACAGATATTTTCTAATTATTATACGAGTATTACCAGCCAGAAGGGCCATATATCATTTTTATATTATATTATTGTAATTTCATATAAGTTCCTCTGTTGGGCCAGATACTTTTATTTTTTATTTATTATTAACAACTATATGATTCTTATATTAGCTAACAGCTCAAATAGCTGCTACTTGTTTATTATAATTTATTCCGGTTGGCTATAAGTGCCGTACATTAATAATTAATTTAATTAATATCATTTATACATCTGTTTTCTGTGTAATTATTACTTTAGGCTATAAGGGCCACACATTATTTTTATATTATACCTTCCTTCTGTTTGGCCATATAGGCCGAGCACTTATATAATTATTTTTACCTGTTGGGCCAAAAGGGCCGTGATATTATTATACTATATTTTTTGTACCTTGATGTTGCTGTAATTTATTGTTTATTTATTATTTTATTATTTTACAATACAGCAATATAGTTACCATATTATACCAGTTTTATTTATCATTGAGTTACCTATTGTTATCAATTTTAAGCATACACACACATTACAATATACACACTCTTACACACACCACCTCACCACGTAACTCGTCAGATTTGTGCGGTGAACCCAACCATTCTGACGAGGCTACATTACAAATATACACACATACACATTATAGTCCGTCGGTGGTGTGCGACACGCATAAGTCGGTGTCCGGGAGCGCGGTATACTATTTGTAGCACTCGGCCCAAACACATCATATTATTGATATTTTTGCCAATTTTAAAAATAGACGATTTGAATTTATGTTGTAAAAATTGTTTTCTTTTTGTTATAAGATTTTGTAAAATTTTTACTTGCCCCCCCCCTAATCAAGGCTCTGGAGCCGCCCCTGAGTACAACATATATAATACGAGTATTTAATTTTTTTTAAATTTTATTAATCATATTATTCATATTTCATATATTATGAATTCTGAATTCTGGTATTCATATTTTGATCGTACTGATTAGTAATTACTGATTACTATGGCCTGGATTTATATGCTTAATTGCATTAATTGAGTTCATGTTCAATCAAATTAAAAAATATCGTTAACATTATTTACCTTTAATTAATAAGTTTTATAATTTTATTTTTTGTAATTAACTTAACTTATTAATTGAAGTTAAGTTAACGGTATTTTTTAACTTAATTGTTATCTTAATTTATGTAATCCTCATGTGCATTAACTTAATTGAACATGAACTCAACTAACTTAAACGAGTTAAAAAATATCATTAACTCGCCCCAGCCTTGTTAAAATGTATATATATATATTTATATCATCCGGTATTATAATATACTTATACTTATATGTATATATAAGGGTATTTTTCGTTTTCAGATTATGTAATACCAATGACCTTTTTCAACTATATTATTAATTTTTTGTTTTAAATTTTCTTTTCTTTTATTCTTTCAGTTGAGTTATTTAAATAATTTACTTATTCTTATAAACGGTGTATACTAGTTACGATCAAAATCAAAATTCATATCTAGTATATATACTATTTTATTTACAAAAATGTTTCAAAATTTTCCTTCTCATTTATAACAGACTTAGCACTATCTACACTATTTTTATTGTGTAGGTATGGTTAAAAATATTGGTACATGGTTTTATGTTTAAATCAAGAGGTTAAACTTTGACAAAACAGTTTTTAAAATTTTGTGAGTACAAATTTGAAAGAAATCGACTTCACATATTCAATACGATTGATTTCACTCTCTTCATAGTAACGTATTTGTTGCGCTAGAAAATGCTCTTTTTCGGTCTTATTCGCACCGGTGATACCCGATTGAGTACGGTCTCGTTATCGGTCGATCTTTTTGACGACTCGATTGAGCACGGTAAAAAAAAAAAATTATTGTGTACAACGTTGTCAGATTGAAAACTATTAGGCAACACACTAGCGTTATTTTTTCCGTGCCGTAATTTTACTGTGCGTTTTGTTAAAGTACATTAAAATGAATAGAGCACAACATACGAGTATTGCGCAGTAAAATTATGGCGCGATATTTCGAAAACTGTCACGTGCACCTTGACTTTACCGTACATTAAAAATACCGCTACAAAGGCTTATTGTGAGTACTTTGAATTTAAAAATGCTGACAATCTACTGAAATATTTATTTGAAAGTTGAAAATAAGTAATTAGAGAAAAAAAAATTAAATGTTTACCTTTTTCATGACAATTGTATGAGTGCTATTTTTTAGCAAAAAAATATATGTAATTATAACATGTGATTAAAATCCAATAAAAGATTTTTAATTATAAATAATTATATTCAAATGTATTTTATTTTGTAATAATATGGACGCACCGAGCACTATACACCAACAATATAAAAAATGCAAAAAAAAAGGTGTCTTGTGGTTTTTCTATTGGAGAGTTATTTCTTTTAAGAAACTTGAGCCGTAAAAATTTTAAATTATGAAATAATCATTAAAAATCTAAAATTGAATTACATTATAATTATAAAAAAATCTTGCATGCACAGTAATGCGGTGCACCGAATAATATTCTATGGTACAAAGCGTCAACGCCGCATCCATTTTCGTACTCAATCATGTGGTTTTTGGTTTCTTTTTTGGTTCCTATTCAGTGGCGCACGCAGGGGGGGTTATGGGGGTGTAACCGCCAAAAATTTTCTCCGATATCTGAGTTAAAATTTACAAATTTTACAAGTTTGAAATATGAAGAGCTTATATTGAATACCTAGTATCATTGATTAGAGAATAGTCTATTCTATTACCAATGCTATTATTTAAGTCAAAATATATTAAAGATTTGCATAATTTTGTTAATTATAAAATGTGTTATATTTTTACCTTGAGCCCCCCCCCCCCCCGAAAAAAAATCCTGTGTGCGCCAATGTTCCTTTGTTTAATTGCAACCGTGCTCAATCGGGTTACAAAAAAGATCAATCGTGCTCAATCAGATTCCAAACATTCGCAATTCATTTTAAAATAACTATTCGTTTGAATTTCGTTTATGGCCTCAAGAAATATATAAATATTTGGGTGAGAGTGGTCAAATATAATATTGAACTTCGAATGAAAATTTTCGCATGCATTGGTTGTTCGTGTAATGGAAGAAGATCATTCAGCCCATAATGATGGCTCGCCATGGCGGGTAAATAAAATCTTTCCTTATACACTTTCCTTACACTTCTAAAATATAGTCAGTAAATTTAGTAAATTTTGCATTATTAGGTGGAAGAAGAGCCATTATATCTGTGACAAAACAATCGTCAACTTCGTTTAATCGTAGAAAAGAAAGCCCGAAATTTTTTTTTAAATATTCGGAACTTCGTATGGACATTGAACGTCTTAGGGCTGACGAAGTTATATGGGCCATGTACAAGCAAGGGTGGAGGGACACGTATGCCACCGTGATTGCTGCGCTGGCCACAGTGCCCCCTTCGCCGCCTGTCAATCTGCGTCCCGTGACCGACGGATCCGACCGTGGACAGGTGAGCACTGATTCTGCGGCCACCGGACCCGTCCGTAGCCAGGCACGTGCGGCGCAGGAACGTTTCCGCTTGTCCGCCGAAGTCGCAAGAACAATCGATTGCCTCTACTACTCGAGTACGTTTGTATTAGAATATTATTATTTTATTTTTTTTGTGTGTGTGTGTGTGTGTGTGCGCCCACTGTGATCTACATACCTGATACATATATATGTATATGGTTCGGAAGAATATTTTTCGGTATTATTTCTCATACAATTTTTTTTTTTTTTTTTTTATAATGCTATATATTCATTTGAAACATTATCAAAAGTATTAAAACCATGCGACTTCTATTTTCATAATGAAATGTTTACTCGGATGTATTAAGTAACGCGAACGCGTATAATCATGTAGTTTTCTATTCAACAATCGTATTAATGTGCATGCAAGATTTTTTTATAATTATAATGTAATTAAATTTTAGATTTTTAACGATTATTTCATAATTTAGAATTTTTACGGCTCAGGTTTCTTAAAAGAAATAACTCTCCAATAGAAAAACCACAAGACACCTTTTTTTTTGCATTTTTTATATTGTTAGTGTATAGAGCTCGGTGCGTAACATTTGGTTATTTTGATTTCATTGTATGGCTGATATTTTTAAAAAATTAAATGCAGATTATTTTTTAATACAAGGTAAAATGGTTACAGATTACGAAGCAAAAAACAAAATCTATTCTAAGAAAAAAAAGAATTAAGTGTTAGGCTGTGTTTTTCTCAACAAAAAATTGATATTTATTGTTGTTTCAAATAGACATTCCTGATTTTCAGGAATCTGAACATTTTTTTCAGGAACATAGAGGCTCTGCGAACGAAATATTTTGAAAATTAACTAATAATTACAGAAAACAATTCTGCATTGCTCTATAACAATGATTCTTAATGTGGGTGATACCACCCCCTTGGGGGCATTTCGGTCTCTCCGGGGGGAATAATTTTCAAGGGGGCAGTGAGCTTTTTCAAACTCGGACATAAAAAATAAAAATAATAAATCATCGAGGAAATAATGTTTGATACAAGTTTAAACGCGTACCACGCAATCACGGATGGGTGGTTGTAGGAAACGACGGCTTAATCACTGATACCAAAGAGTCAACGATTTTTCAAACGGTGGAGGAATATTTTACAAAAAAAATGTCCCCTCGACTAATACTATTTTATGCGCAATGGATGGCGCTCCTTCGACTACCGGTCATGTTGAGTTCATAGCCCACCTAAAAAAAGTCTTCCCAGGTATTATTTGTGTACATTGTGTTATACATCGCCTACATTTAGCTGCAAAAAACTTAAGCAGTGACTTGCACGAAACCCTTTAGTTAGTCATAAAAGCTGTAAACAAAATTAAAACAAATTCACTCATTATTAACTGCATATTTCGAGAACTTTTTCATGATAATGATGAAAATTTTGAAAGATTACTTTTGCATACGGCAATAAGGTGGTTTTCCAGAGGAAAGTTTTTGTGTTATTTTACTTTATCATTGAATTTCTCGATAAAATTGATCCTGTCTTAGAGTACAATTAGAAATAACGAAAAATTGAAATTGAGTAGGTACCTCATAGATATTTTTGAAAAAAATGAATAAAATCAATTTGAAGCTTCAAGGGAATAAGATGAACTTTATCAAAGCCAAAGGAATAATTTCCTTATTCATTTTTAAGTTCGATATTTTCAAAACAAACATAAATCGTCAAGAACTGAGTTACTCCCAAGGTCGAAGAAACAAATTTATTAAAATTGAAAATGTAAATTTCATACACATACATTATCATACTATGTTAATGTTTTGTCAATCGTATCACTGTAGCCGCTAAAGTTTAGCGCGGATCAATGACCCTGCATATAAGTGTTTACGCGTTTCTTTCTTTCAGATCACACACGAAACAGCGGCCTTTGTGATAGCAGAACACCAGGAACTCGGCCAGTGAGAAGTGAATGTCGATAAGGCGCTAACGTGACTGTGAACCTTAGACCGTACCCAGAGGAATCCTTACTAGGGACTTTACTATCACCAATAACCACGTAGATTACCCACCCCAATCGGACAATCGAACACGTACATCGACAAAAATCGAAGATGAATCCGAAAAATTCGACGACTCCCATACAATGGAGGAGGGACATACAATCGACATACAATTAGTATCCCATGTATACTAATGCAAAACCTAAGGAATACTCGTCCACCGACACTAATCGATAACAATGATCTAATGGCGGAAAACATTTGAAACATTATCACCGCCACCTTGTCCACTACATACAATTGAAATACCGCCATCTCAATCGACAAAATTCTGCAACAGCCTCCGCTATAAAAATAATTTAATTTTCCACTAATAATTTTAAAAAAAATATTGAACCGATAAAAAATAAGAATACAGAACACATAGGAGGCCAATTAATTGAATAACTAGCCAAATCATTCTGTATAATAGTTTAGTAATTAATTTTGATTTATATCCTAATTACATCTGATTACATTAGCTCGAACTATAAAGGTACATATGTAATGCATGCGTAAAAAAAAAAAACAATACGAAGGATCTAATAACCAGAGCGCTGAGTATGGGGTTAATAATCAATGAAGAGAAAACTAAATATATGGTTGTTACGAAAGGTGATCAATTATACTAAAACAGAAGTTTGGAGATTTTTGTTTTGAAAAAGTAGAAAGCTTTAAATACCTGGGAGTTGATATAAATAACTGCAATAATTACTATGAAGAAATAAAAATGAGAATAAAAGCTGAAAACTGGCGTTATTTACGCTACAGAAAACCGTTAGGTCCAAGATATTATCAAAAAAATCAAAAATGCAATTGTACAAGATTTTAGTGAGATCAGTAACTCTATACACATGAGAAACAAGGTACCTAAATGTCAATAAAGGACGAAAGAAAACTGACAGTTCTAGAAAGGAAATTCATATGACATATTTTTGGTCCTAAAAATAACTATCAAACAGGTAAATCAGTGCCGGATTACCTATTAGGCAGAGTAGGCGCTCGCCTTAGGGCCTCACTCATCTAAAGGGCTCTGTGAAAACGGAAAACTAAATTTTTTTTTATTCAACAATACCTGTATTTTATTTACGAATTTACAGGGCAAAAGTCATTATGAAATATAATATACATTAAGTTGTAGGTGTTATATGCAGTAATAATAATAAAAATATTTTGAAAAAAATAGAAATAATATAATAATTCATTCATTTTTCTTGCAAATAAAAAAATTTAATAAACATAATTTTATTTATTAATAATAGTTGGTAATTACTAAAGCTAATTATTTTAAATATTGGATAGTAATGTTAAAGATGCATGTAAAAAATAATTTTGTAGGGCCCAAAATTTTAATTGCTTAGGGGCCCACAAATGTTTAATCCGGCACTTAGGTGATTATAAAATAAAATCCAATAAGAAAATTGAAGACCTATGGGGAGAAAAGACATTATACAAACACTTACATTAGATACAATCACATTAGAAATTTAGCATGTATATTTTCTACTACGATAAAATTTTAACGGCTATGTCATCGCTATCGGAAATATGTGATAAGATAAATTAAATTACCTACCTAAATATAAATGTAGGCTGTTGTCTGTTAGTTCGTAATTGATTATGGAACAAGCATTATACTCGTTTATGTTTAAAAGTTTCAATTTCATACATTTTCTTCGTAATATTTTTATTATTCATCGCTTCAGTTCAAGACTGCAATAATTCAAAAAAACTATTATTGAGATATCGACGTATCAGTTCAAGATAGCAATAACTCAAAAATATTCAAATTGAGTTATCTACGTGATATTATTTTCAAAATTACGGCGATTTCGATTCTATAACGCAATAACTTTTAGTTGCATTATTCACCTCTAGAGGTCGTTTATTTCATTCTAGAACCAGTAGTTTCATAATTTGAGTTATTGCAGTCTTGAATTGAAGCGTCGATATGTCAGTAAATAAAAAACGTAAAATCTCGGGTGAAAGTCGCAATTTTTAAGAAAAATGGTCCAATAAATTTTTTTTTATTCAAGTTAAAGAAAAGACAATATGTTTTTTTTGTCAAGAATCTTTTGCAGTGATGAAAGAGTATAATAATTGATTATAAATACTAGTATTTATAATCAATGGTATAATTTAAAACGACATTAGGTTCGACAACTTCTAATTGACAAATTTGCATTGTTAATGAAAAATATACAAGGTCAGTCTTCAAGTATAAAAAAATATCATAAAGACTCAGAAGCCAGTGTCAAAACTAGTTATATCATAGCACGAAAAATTGCAGCTAAATCGAAGCCATTTACTGATGGTGAATTTATAAAAGAGTGCATGGAGACGGCCTCTAAAATTTTATGAACGACACAAAAAAAATTTTTTTTCCAAATTGAGTTTATCAGGAGTAATTGTAGCAAGGCGTATGAAAAAACTAGCAACTGATATTGAGAGTACCCTAAAAGAACAAAATTTCTAAGTATATTTTTTATTCGCTGGCACTTGACAAAGGTACAGATTAATCACAAATCAAAAAATCAGACTTATCACATTAAAAATAAAATAAAAAATTTTTACTTAAAAAAAAATGTTTATCTATATCATTGGTAACCAAACTAGGAGGAAGCGCACCCCTCTTGGGGAGCGTGTACACATTACATGAGAGGCGCAATCAGTTACTACAAAGTACAATTTTTATTGATTAATTCCGAATATTTTAGTTTATTTGTAAAATACACAAAAAAAGGTGATCGATTTTTTCAATTTATAGGAGAGGGGGGCACGAGATTTTTGAAAGTCTACAAAGGGGGCGTAGAACAGAAAAGGTTAGGAACCATTCATCTATATGTTAATAATAATAATTTTTAATTTAAAATGTAATCATAAGAATTGTAATAATAAAAATTCATTTTTGTATAAATACATGTTTTTACTACGAATGCGGCTCGCAAGATTTTTAAAAAATAATACGTGGCCTACTTACTGCACAAAAAGGTTGTAGACCGAAAAAAAAAGGTCGATAGACAAGCCCAATCGGATTTTTTGGATACTAGGAATCGATGACCCGGATGAATCGGTAAATGATAAAGAAGAATGTAGGTGGCTGGACTGTGTAGAGCACTAATGGACTTTAATAGCCTATAAAAGCTAATAAAAAAACACCAAAAATATACGATGTAGTAAAAAAATAATAAACACACTCGATGATCATTTATTTTAATTGTATAAACGAGCTAAACAACAGGCTACAGCTTATTTTAGAAAAAAACGTATATTATATGCGTAGAACAATAAATTGTATGAAATAAAAATAAAAGAATTATTATAATATCTTTTTTCTTATTATAAGAATTCTATATTTATAACATTATAACAGAAACAAAATGATTACTTACCCACAAAGTTAGTCAGTCGCTGGACGATGAAGAATAATTGTAGTTTAAATACATAAAATATAAATTTAATAAAAAAAATAAATAAATGTATAGAAAATAGTTAAAGAAAACAAAAATTAAGTGTTTTTTTTTTTTACAAGAAAATTGCATAAAATGTTGTGTTCAAACGTTCCATGAGATGAAATTGAAATAAACATACATCATATTTTAATATTTAAAATTTTAATTTATTTTAATTTATAGTTGTTTTTGATTAGAAGTACGATAATAATAATAAGCCACAAGAGTTCACACGCGCTGACTGTTTGAAACAACGGCGAAAAAAAGACTGGCTCTGTTTGACTTAAGGGTCGTCAGACTATTTATGTATGACGAAATCTCACGTACACACCCCGTGAAATACATACGTCTCACAATCCATAGGCACATTTCGTGGTCATCTTTTCTCAAAGATCCGTTCTTGATTTCATATCTTCTGCACAAACCACGGTGCGGTTGATTTAGAAAAATATATTGCAACGAATAGCTATGCACCTCTAATGTGATTCTTTACTCGATTATAAAATATTTTTAAATTCTTGTACTATTGTTCATTTTAAATGTAATTAGATTTTGTTTAATACTAAAAAATACCATAAAACGCTATAATAGGTACTAATTTTATTACAATATACATAATACTGCTGTCGATGCAGAAAATAGACTCAATACAACTGTGAAAAAAAATCACAGCCAAGTTAGCGATCAATGAGTTTACAAAGAAGTAGGATATTGTTATTTTTATGCATACTCGATTCTTATCGTTCGCTTATAGCCACAAACTATAATGATTAACAATTGATATTCAATACAATGAAGAATCATGTTACAAAAAATTTTAAGGAAATATATTTATAATTACAATAATTTCACTAAGTGAAGTTGCATTATATTCAATGCATCAATTTTGTAAAAAAAAAAAAAAAAAATTACAAACAAATAATGTATAAGTTAAAAATGGTTAGCTAAGAGACCAATAATTATTGTTGTTTAATGACTACGTTCCAAACACATTATTATTTTAAAGTATTTTACTACACTCAGACTAAGTTGTTAAGTAATTATTCTGATGATTACGTTAGTCATACAATATACTATAAATATATTTTAATTGTTCCATAATTATAATAATTTTACCATTTTAAATTATGAGAACACAAGGTTAAATTAAGATACTTTTAGATTTATTTGTTAAGTTCTTAACACATTTTGATTCATTGTTAAAATTTATATAACTGTAAATGTTAAACAATAAATCTAATTCATGCAAGTTAACATTTTTAACAAATTTTTAAATCTAACTTACAAATATCATGATTTCGAGTTATTCTTAAAAAGTATAAATATAAATAACAAAAACATATACATTATATTCATTAGATTACAAACAAGATCATAACCATTTGAAAAAACAGTAGGAATAATATTTGGTCTTCTTTTCTTAAATTTTAATTTTTTCAACACACTTATTTGATCCAATTTATATAAAAATGAATAGCAAACATAATTACAATTTACGAATAAATTTAAAACCAAAAAATCAGTAAATAATTTTAATATAAAATCATTTGTGCCATTTATTTAATTATTTCAGATTAATAATTATTTATTTTTCTAATAATTACATAAAAATGGTTAAAAAAAAGTTATTATTAATTTGTTTTTGGGATAATTTGATAATTTATACTTATTATATATTTGGATATTAGTAATAAAATAATAAACTTATTTTCTAACTTATAAACATAATTTTGCCATAAGAAAATTTCCCAAAAACATGTAAACAAAAGAAATATATTTTTTCATTATTTATTTTAGTCTTAAAAAGAAAATTCATATTTGATTTATAGTAAATATAAAATTATATGTCCAAAATTAAACATTTTTTTCCTTCCAAAAATTAAAGTGTGCGAAATTGGATGTAAGTCATCGTAGTCTTTATTTTCTACTTCTTAAAACAAGTTCACCTTTAAAAAAAAAAAATAATTCCACACAAACAAAAAACATGCCCGAGTACAAACATTTAAATTTTAAAACACAAAGAATGACAAATATTTAAAATACGTTGTTAAATTACTTCATTTCCAAACAATATTGAAATATATTTTTAAATAAGCATGTACATGTCACAAGAAAATTAAGTTATATCAATGAAAGTACATTATTGAAAAAAGAAAATTTATTTTCATATTTAATAAAAGTATTTAATTTGATTTAATTAATTGTTTAAAGTAACAATAATTCAAATTGAATTAAATAATGAATAAAATAAAACATGAATGTTTGGATAAAAATAATTATCAATAAAACTATTATATGATAATATTTAGATGACAATCATAATTATTTAATATTTAAAATGTTGAATACCTGGGAGAGGTTTAAATAATTGAACTCTTAACTGTTTAACATACACACACTTAAATATATTTAAATCTAAATATTCGTAGACACTTCTTTTAGTAGGGAAAGTAGAATGGCCTTGGGCCTGCAAAACATTCAAAATATTAAAATAACAATAAAAATTAAATTAATAATATAGCCAAAATACATGTTAGAAGCATACTGGTTTTTAAATTATAATTAATAATTAAGCTATATGGATTAGTCGATATCTTTTATGGACATTCATAAATGTTTACAATTTAAACTAATGTTTAAAAAGAAAAATGAACAAACCAAAAATATTAAAAAGAAAAATTAACATAATATTAAATAACAAAATAACTTATTTTATAAGAAATAATAAGGTTAACATTTTTTAAATAAAATGAGAGTATAAACCTAAAAATAAATGTATGGAACCATAAAATTCAACAAAAAACTACATGAATAATAAGTATAAAATTGTGTTAATTTTATTTATATATAATATAGTTCTATTATTAGTATATAGCAGGGGTGGCGTATCTATGGCACGCGTTGACCGAATTTTAACGGCACGCCCAAAAAATTTAAATATTTAAAAATTGTACACAAAAAATAAAAGTATAATGTTTATAAAATATTGGTTATAAGAAATTCAAAGAAAAAAATTCAAAATATTTTAAAAATGGCAATCCCTTACGTTTTCACATTTTTTGTCAACTTATGTATGTTTGTGAAAGCCATAACAAATTTAATTAAATCGAAGGAATGAAATGTTTTGAGCAATAAAACAATTACTGCTTGTGTTTCACTAAGAATGACTAAAATTTAAAAAAAATAATGTAATAAATCTATAATTTTATTTTATTCTTAGAAAATATAATTTTCTTTAGGCACATGAATAATTTTCAAATCCTTATCTGGAAAAATTTGGCACTTGAACCAAAAAAGGTTCACCACCCCTGGTTTATAATATAATAGTTTAATTTAATGAAAAATACAATTGTTCACTCTTATGCAAAATGAAACATTTTTATTAATTCAATTAAAACACTAAAGCTGAAAAATAGAAAAAAATCTAAATAAAAAAATAGTATAAACATTTTTATAACATAACTAAGACCATGATGTTGATGAAATCTGTATTTTAATTTTTAATTACTATACAATTACTTCCAGAAACAATTATAACTTGTTTGGGAACATGGATTTCAGTAGCTATATATTATTGTGTACATTTTGAGTCAATTAAATATGTTGTCAAATCATTTGATTCAAATGATAGCGTAGGAATCAAAAGAGATCAAGGCATATTGAAATCTCAAACGCTGCAAGCAAATTTTATTTATATCAAATCGAACTTTGAATGTTTGTCAACGACCATAAAACAACTTCAAGAGCAAAAATTATCATTAATTGATTCCATTCAAATAACCAAAACAATCAGAGACATAATTAAGAAACTTTAAGGGCAACATGTAGTGACAATATTAAAAATAAATTATATTTAGTTCTAAATAATAATGCAGGCTACAAAATGATTTGCAATTTTTCCAAAATATCATCTGGTGAAGAGGAAAGTATTACAAATCTAGAATTACTCGAAGACATGATTCTTGATGATTTTTCGTATTTTAAATATGCACATCTACTGACGTTGAAAGGTAATTTTCAAAGTACAAACATTTGATCACAGATAACCATCGTTCATTCAAACTTGACAACATTAAAAAATCTCTGATAGTACAATGTAATTCTTTAAGTAAATATACAATATGTAATTAAGTATTCAGTGTTAATGAATAAATTTGTTTCAAAAGTTTCAGATTTAAAATGAACAATTGATAAAGACATACATTAAATGCAGTTCATGAAAGTTCAAAGATAGTATTTAAAATCAATTTTTTTGAATTGTGACATTAAAAAATAAAATATAACTATAAAAAAATGAATGGATAATTCATGTCATTTCAAAAACTATTTATGATTTTTTTTTAATTAGTATATTTTAAGTGCATAATTTTAGATATTTAGAGCACATAAATGCATGTTTTTACATTTTTTAAATGCATATTTCAGTACATATTTTGCCAATTTTGAGTACATATATGCATTTTTATTTAGACATTTTTTAAGCCATGAACTTACGATCCCTGGTTATATTTTATCATCATGATAACGACATTTTATATAAAATGACAAACATGAATTTTTTCTCGAGAACTCAACATTTTTCAATTACATAATTTTATTTTTTATTCTTCGAGTACTCGGTTAAATTAGGTTATTAAGTAATATAATAGAATATTGAAATAATTATTATTAGAAATAGTATAGATAATAATTTAAGTATTATTATAATATAATAATCAATAAGTAAGTAATTAAAATTTTAAATTTTGAGCTATTCCTCTTAAGTACCCACTCTAATAAATCATAACCTGAATCAGCTAAGAGTCTTTGCTGCACTATTTTTAAGCGTATATTATTGGATTGAACTTGAGTTTTAATTTTTTTATTACCATGTTCATAAAGTAATATTTTAATATCTGTTTCAGTTTCGTTTTAAGTAGATTGTAATGTTTTGATTAATTTAAGGAGTCTTACAATAGTAGGTGGGCCTACATCTTTTTTTTTTGTTTCGAAACGACCATCTGGGCATTCATTGATGTCTTTAACGCTTGGGAAGGGTAGAGTAAGTGGTACTTGTACCGCCTACTCTAAGAAGAGAATTTTCATATGTGTGGACTTCACTCCCAGTGGAGTGGGTCCGGTGGGAGGCAGTATAGACCTAAATTTATGAAAATATTAGATACAGTAATCGAAAATATAGTGATTATTTTTACTTTGACCAAAATATCCATTCGACCACAAAACTTTTCGACTGCATTAATAAAATATTAACCACTTTTTTTTTTACTATAAAACGATCGATCATATTCTATCAATCGATCAAATGACTCGCATCGATTTGAACACTAGTAAGACTTATTATTAAAAAAAAAAAAATTTCAAAGACAATCATTTACTAAATAAACCCAATAAACAAATATTTTTTAAATTATATTATTCTGTTTTTCAAAAGAATATGAAGATATAGAACTTATAAATGTTTTAATTCCACTTCACTCACATCAAAAGTTTGAAAACTGATTTTTCACTAATACAGTCTATGTACAAAATATAAGAATAGAAATTTTATTTTGATAAACAGAGAACTAAAAAATTAACAAAAGTAACTTTGTGATTTATAATTTTAAGAATGCTGATTATATGTTTTTAATTTTATTTATGTTAAACTATGAATAAAATGTAACGAAAATAATCTAATAGTTCTATAATTCTAAGTTATTTTTAAAAAGGAAAATTATAATACATGTATTGAAATTATAATTATTTAATATGATTAACACTATATATTATAAATATAAACATATAATGTACTACAAATATATTTTACACATAAATGTAAATATAAAATTATATTTTTAAGGTACGCCTACTAAACAATCTAATTTTTATTATAATATGAATAATGTATTACACGAAATTAAATTATAATAAGGGTAGGTAACATGCATAAATAAAAAGTATTAAAGTAAACCTATTACTTTTATAAAGTCAATAAAAATTTAAAAAAAAAAATAAAAAACCTTGGATTCAAGGTATTAATTACAACTCACTAAAACCATTATATGTTCAAACAATTTTAGTAAAATATGGAATTTATTTTTTAACCAACCAAAAAAGTCTTTATTTAATATACATTTTTATAAAAGTTTTCTTCTTTTTATCGTGTCGAGGATATAGTAAGAGTCTGCATATGACGTTCCCTGCATCGCAATGTATGACCATGATAAATAACGTGAACTAATCTTACCAATACAGGTGTTAGAATGTCTAGGCGCTCAAACTCAAAAAGGCCCTATTCAGGCCCATCCTCATCAGCAAAGAAATAATTTTTTATGAATGATTTTTATATTATGATAATGAATTAAAAACATTAAAATATATTAAAATAAAACATTACCGTAACTAAAATAATTTTTGCTTATACATGGTTAAAAAAAATTTAAATTCTTCATAATTATAAACTTAATAAATGTATAGAAAAATAAATAAACACATTGAAAGCAAAAACGCAAAGTAATAAATGCAACAAAAATAAATCAATGACTAAATATTTAGAAATTAATGTTGATTTTTATCCAACTACTGGTATATCATCGAAATGCTATAGATAAAATGTAAATAATTAAACCCTATAAAGAAAAACACCATTACCCTACGAAAAAAATTAATTAATTTTAAATCGAAGATATTATTATATAATTTTAGAATTGCTAAAATAAAAAATTTTATCATTCAAAAATAAAAATAAATTATCAATCTAGCATCTAGTAACTAGGCATGTCATAGATTGAGGCTAAATTTAACATTGGTATCAATTTTAATTTTAAATTTACTAACATTATAACAATTTTTTAATCCATCATATGATATTTTAATATTGATACCAACAATTACAATATGTATTAATAAAATGTATACAAATAAAATTAAATTAAAATGCTTGTACACCATTTCGCAATTATTGAAAATCATTTAACATTAGCAAATTGAATCTTAAACATCAAATAATCTTTTTCTTCTCCCAACTACTCGTATTTAAAGTTGGTCACCTTTGTCTTAAGCATCCACTCATCTTGATTTTCTACATTCCCTACACATACACCAACAGCCCTTATATCATTCTCAATCGTATCTAACCATTTTTTTATTGGGCTTCCTCTTTTACCTTCAACGTTCATTTTCATAAACACTCTTACTGTTTTTGTTTTTTATTACCACATCACATGCCTGAACCACCTCAGTCTATTTTTTCTCATCTTGTCCACTATCGACGCTACACCAATACTACCTATCGCATATTAATTCCTTATTCTATCTTTTATTGTCACTTTACTCATCCATCAAAGCATTCTCATTTCCATAACACTAATACTCTGTTTTATTCTCCTATCAACCAAAAAACACTCCGAACCATATAACATGGTTGATTTGGGCGCATGTAAATTCCACCGATTGCTACTTTTTAAGACCTTTTTTCATGTAAATAAT